TTATTAACATTATTATTATATTATATTATTTTTAGTAATTTATTTTTTTATTTATATTATAATAAGAATTATAAGTTACTATTWTGTAAATATTAATGATTTTATTATTTTAAATATAACATGATATATATTCATTAAATATATATTTTATATAATATAAAAATGTTAATTAATATAAAATTTTTATTTTTATGTTATTTATTATGTATTTTATTATTTTTATGTTTAAACAAAATGTAGATATAATTGAGATACTTGTATGATATGTTAGTTTGTCGTGAGAAACGTCACCACAAAAACTTCGGGAACTCTATTGTTATTTAGTTCTTGAGAGAGACCGGGATATTGGGATAATAGACATAAGTATTTGGAGACAATGTTTATTAAAAAGGACTGCAAAACACGCAAAAACTTTATAATAAAAGCGAAGCAAAAATAGTGAGACATTGGCTGATGAACTCTCTCTCTCTCTCTCTCTCTCTCTCTCTCTCTCTCAATAAGTTTTGTATTGAAACTTACAATTCGTGCCAAAAAATATTTGTGGATTTCCTGTGAAGAAAGGACAACATTTCTTTATTGTCTTCACTATTGTTGGATTCAAATAATTCAATTGACTTATCATATGATGACCGACATAAACACTAGTCCTCTAATATTTTATTATAAAAAATGATATAACAATCAGTAATCAGGTCTATAGTAGTGGTAATCAAGTGAATAGCAAACCACAGAATATCTTCTTATGTCTTATACTACTATACATTACATATCATATTAAATATAAGCAAATAATATAAGCATTGAACTAATGACTGACTTATTATTGAAGGCACTGTTGGCTACACTATTGTGAGCAAACATACCAACAAAATAAGTCAATATTTTTGTTGACTTTTGCCAAATGTTTTGTCGCCGACTAGTATGCAGTGAATCAAAAAAATAGCATTTGATTAATATTTGTAAAACTATTGTTTTTTTAGTGACCATTACATGTTTTTATTGAAAAATAGTTATAATAAACATTGAATCGGATATAAGTTTATTATTCATTCAAATATAACAGTTTAATACCTATTCACTGACTTTTTTAAAACAATTTCATTGACAACAATCAATGGGTATTAACAGGTGTTGAGATTCAGTACTTCAATATAAACATTACTATATTTTACATGTATTTTAGTTTATAGTAACCATACAGTACTTCCCATATTATGACTGTTTTTTACAGTCAGACAATAGTCAATAAAAATGATAAATAATGCACTTTTTGTGTGTCCAAACACCGCAAACCCTACTGTCCTGTCTATTGGATTCATATGAATCAGCTGTCATTACATGTTTTTTATGTCAATAGTTTTTTCACATATTTTTTCATTATTACAAACCAATAAACTATATGACAATACAATACAAGATATACCACAAAAATTTTATACAAAAGTGTGTGTAATGTTAATGTATATTCAAAAATTCTAAATATAGTATTGAATTGATTTTGAAATTATTATAATAAATCGACAGTTTTAATCACAATTATCTACTTTATATAAGAATTGTCATAAAAAAGACATTTTAAATAGCAATCATTAAGACTATTCAATAGACTATTATGTAATAACTTCTATAAATAGACCTTTTTCTGCTTTTATATTAAAAGTGCGGACAGTTTAATATGAATTTTAAAAAAACTAATACATTATATTCATATGGGAGGCAATCGTTTATCAAAATCATTTCATTTTTATATTCACTGTACTGTATATACAGTAAATGTAATGCATTTCTATTTGAATGAATTGTTGTGCAATAATAATCACAACACAACCGCACACATACTTCACTAATACAATGACTTATATTTTATATTATTTAACACAACAAACACGGGTTTATAATATAATAGTCAATGAATTAAATTCTTTAGAGCCATAGTTGGTCTCTTCAGTATAGACCACCTCATCGGTCTCTCCCCTCTTTTTATCTACCAGTCCCTCATCGAAGCACTGATTAAGCCTTAGGGCACAGCTTTAACTCAAATCATGAAATATATCTATTRGTATGAATTATATTTACAATACAATATACTAAAAACAAACACAGAAAATATTTTATTATATTATTAAATAACAAATTATATAAATTTAATTTTTAATCAATAATTTTAAATATTTTATAGTTAGTGAAATAATACTGTATATACAATCATAGATCTTGATTTATTTTTAAGTTTAAAATACATTTAAAAAAGATAAACCCAATGTATTTAATATGTATGTATTGTATATCTCCTTATCTCTCTCTCTCTCTCTCTCTCTTTCTTTCTTTCTTTTTTCTCTGTCTACACAATGTACATACTTTTTTACTGTAGATTTTTTTGTGTCAAATTATAATATATTATTAGAAAAWATAATTTTAGTTTAGCTAAACTGATAATATATTTTTTTCAWTTTTTTTTGTGACAATCTTCATATGATTTTTATAAAACTATTTAGCAATAAAATTGTTTATTCAATATTAAGAAGTTAAAAATAAGTAATATTTAATTGAATTTTAATTTAATACAAATTTAGTAGTAATATTAACTGTACTATTTCTAATATTAGTTTTTAAATATTCATGTATTAAAATATAAAAATTGTTATTTAATAATTTTATTTTTAAATTATTTGATARCTTTCCTAAATCTTAAGCTAAAAAAGTTAATTACTTGACGACAGATCTTCTCTCTCTCTATCTCACACACACACACACACACACACACACACACACACACACTCACTCACTCACTCACTCACTCACTCACTCACTCACTCACTCACTCACTCACTCACTCACTCACTCACTCACTCACTCACTCACTCACTCACTCACTCACTCACTCACTCACTCACTCACTCACTCACTCACWCACTCACTCACTCACTCACTCACTCACTCACTCACTCACTCACTCACTCACTCACTCTCTGACTCCTCAACTCATTTTTATAGTAATTGTGTGTCATTTTGAACGCAATGTTAAAATTAAAATCAAAGGTCACATATCCTATGTGAGCATAAAATCACTTTTAAAAATGTATTTTTATTTTATAAGAGTATACTTTTACAGGTATTTTCTCAAACATTCAATATTTAATGTCACGCTCTCTCCCTCTTTAACAGACAAAAAGTTTTTATATTGATTTTTAAGTTAAGTTTTTTTGTTGCAGTTTTTATGATATCCTAACAAACAGATTGTATTTCATTTAAAATTACAAAATTGTTTATAAACTTTAAAAATATTTATGAATTAAATGAAAAAGTGGGAATTTTTATTTTCTTTAAAATTTGTTTTTACCTCAAAAAGATGCATTTTTTCACTAATAATAACAAAATATCAAATAATAAAATAATTTTTTGTAATTGCAGATGAAAAAATAACATATATAACAAAATCACTGAAACAAAACCAATTGTAGCGACAAATGGAAACCAAATAATATATTGACAAATATTTTCAACAAAAAATATACAAAAATGCTGTAATAAAAATAACTAAAAATAAAATAATAGTTTTGTTTACTAGTATTATGTCATGTATGGCAAGATATTAAATAAACAAATATACTATTTCAACATCAATATCACACTTTATAAGCTAACTTTTTTTATCAGTTGTCAATTGCATAAACAATATATCGTATTACGATTTAGTTGTTAAGAAATAGTTGGATAGCCAGGTGTGTGTAGGCATGTGATGATTACTGTCAATAAAAGAGTTATCACTTGAAAAACCCAAATGTTATGATCAAAACTATTAATCCATTGTCATTGTCATCGTCTACTTATTCAATAAAGGATCTAATCATAAGCCTATATCTGTATATTTTAATTGTATGGTTTTGGATATCAATAATTGGAAATAAAGAAAAAATTAATTTTATAAAATAAACAAACAATACATTCATACATAACCGGCTTAAATAAGTGTCTGACTCAGAGCACCTGGTTTTCAATGGAAGAGAAAAATGAGAGTTTAGCGAAATTTTCCTATTATTTAAAGTTAAAAAAAACTTTTTTATGCAAACACATGAATGAGGCACTTATGTTATGTTTGTATGTTGTTTAGCATATTTTTTATGAAATTACTCCATCAATATCCTCATCTTATACTCATATAATGTATATTTTGGAGAAACAAACCATACAATTATAGTAAACATAGCGTGCAATTCATATAAGTTATAAATCAAAGACACGTCCAACTAAACAGTCCGACCGATCATTCATTTAATTCACTTATTTATGGATTTCATTCACAAATCTGTTGCTATTTTTATATTATTATTTAAGTTATAATAAAATATAAACTAAATAACTACTAATTATTCTAATAATATAATAAATACAAATCAAATATATATATATAATTTTTTATATTCTCTTACAATATTAATATTTATTTTATTTTATTTATTTTATTTTATTGTCTCATCAATTCATTGTTAAACTCTACCGGAAATCATTTACATTACTTTACTATTATATCAATGAATTAATTTTCTAACTCAATAAAAAACAGATAAAATTTCATTGATTTAGTCATTATTTATTAATACTGTATTATTTATTTTTTATTTATTTTAATTATGTAGTAAAATATTTTAGGTAAATTGATACTATAAATTATTATTACATTTATATAAACTGTAGAGATATGAAAATGTTATTTAATTTTTACATTAATACTATACATTAAATAAATCAATTTATCGATAAAAACAAACAATTTTATAGTATATGATATTACAAATTAATAAAATAATTAAATGGTAATAATAATAATAATAATGATAATATAAAATTTGATAACTAATTGCATAATAAGTAAAATCAAAATATTGTGTGTTTTGTATGTAATACTTAATGATGTGTCGATCATCACCTCTTGTTTGATCATAATTATCAATCATCTGATAGAGACAACAGTATAATCATTAATCAAACATAAAAGTGGTTCAAGTGTTTGATGAATGAGTCACTAAAATATTTGAAAGACTTAGTGGAGGTCCGGGAGAGACAACCTTTTGGCGACACATCGGACACGTGTTGTGTTTCGTTGCAAACCATCCTTTAATACATTGCTTATGGAAATTATGGCCACATTTTAGTGCTTTGATCGCATCGGCCAATGGGTCCAAACATATACAACACATTTTGATAGACTTGTTGACCACATTTTCAGCCGATTGGTCACTCATTTTGTTTTCATTTTGTGGTGTCTGACCACTGGTCTTCTCAATGACTCGTGACTTGCAATGAGGACAGCKATTATCGATGAGTAGGTCACAGCTTCGGTGACAAACATAGCAATCATACGTTACAATTACTACACTATCGTTAAGTGAAGACATTATATTAGTTTAACTAATTGATTAAATTATTGATATTATAATTTCAATATAAAAATATCAATTTATTTGACAAAATGTGAGAAACAGTTGACAAAAATGTTTAACAATAAAAATTTAGTTTAAATAATGATATCTCAAGACTAGACAAATCTATTGACACAACTCTATTGTTTTCTATTGCATATCAAACTAATGTCACATTTAATAGACTAAATGTATTAAACTGTATTTTTTTGTAAATTATTATCCATTTTTTAACAAATAGTTTAGTAWTTTATTTCAATTTTCAATATTAAAGTATATTTWAAAAATATTTAAATAAAAAACTACTAATATTTTATGTAAAACTATCAATGAATAAATAGGTTTTTACTTTTATTGAATATTATTAATACAGTATATTTGTAATAATAATAATTAATCCTATTTTTCTATTTCTTTTAAAACTCAAACGATTTATTTTATTTTAAAGAAAAACATACAGTAATTGTATTTTAAATTTCAACTATAAATAAGAAAAGTCATTGAAACTTAACATTTAACTAAATATCAAATAATTGTCAAACTCTTTATTCATAATTAGTTGATTTATATAAATTATTTTAATTTATCATTATATGTCTTACTGTATTCATAATTATAAATTGTYATTATTTTATCATTATGTCTATTAAAACAATTATCGGATAATTTTATATAATAAATCATGTAAGAGTTATATAAATTTAATGTATAAATAAACTATTATATCATATAATATATTAACTAATAAGCATCTGAATACTTTTTTATTATAAAAACCATTTAGTTTTTTATTATTGTATAATAATATATTATATAAGAAACAATATAATTATGTCAATTATAATTTATTATTATATTATTAAAACCAAATTAATATGTGTGAAAACAATATATAATAGTTTATATAATTATTCTAAGAAAAATTTAATTTTAAAACTCTAAATATTTGTCATATATATTGTTTAATAAACAGAATTTTCAATTGTTTGAATTGTTTGTCCCAAAAATATATCCAATCGTTTTATCAATGAAAACAAATTGTAATTTGTTGGTAGAAATAGCAAAACTTAAAATTATATTTGAAATTAATATTTCATGCATTAATGCTTTCATGGGTTTGCTTATTGAAAAAGACAACTTTTACTTCAACACAATATATTTTCACTATATATACTGTATATATCGTATAATACTTATCTATATTATATAACTTAAATTTAAAACTGCAAATAATTTATGTTGAAATATAGATATTTGTCTTTAAAAAAATTGAAAGAAACACATAGTTTTCAGTAAGTGATTGCTTAAGTTTTTTTTACTGTATTTGTATATTTACACAAAAAACATCTAACAATATAGCATATTAGAGTACAGTATATTGCATTGCATTATTAATTTTCAAATATATAATTTAATATTATTTACTTTTTTTTAAGTAAACAGTAAAACTATTTTCTAATAAGACAAATAATAAATTTATGATTAGATTCATTCATTCATTACAAACAAATATTTTGTAAATTTGTTGATTATAACCGGTGCTGAGTTTTCTAAATAAATAGTAAGTCCCAGTCCTCCCTTTCCAATTTTCATACTATACTGTACATCACAATTGCATAACTCAAATATTTTTGTTTTAACAGTTTATAGCCTAACATATCATACTATAAATGCCAGACTTTGCTGAGAAAGTCAGACAGAGTTTATGAAAGCGAAAAATATAGTGTTTATATAATTTTTATTTTTAGTTAAAATATATAAAAATATATTTATAACTACAAAAATGAAATAAAAGTTTTTTGTTTAAAGTTGACAATTCCCACCAAAACTATTGATAATCGTTGGTTTCAACAACACTTTATAGCTTATATGAATGAGACACACAACAGATACAATTAACAGCTGAACTAACTTTTTGCTAAAAATTGTTTTTTAGTATTTTTTAATATTTATTTGTTGAATCAATAGCTGCCAAAAAACAATGCTAACTATAGACATACAAAAATAATAGGCATTTTTCGTATTTGTTTTATTGCTTTATAATTTATTATTATTTTTATAATTCTATTTCTATGTTTGTTGACTAAAACAGAGATTATATATAATATTATATATTTTTAAATATTTTAACATACATTTTATAGTAACATAATTTTTCAAATTAAAATTATAAATAATTAAATATAAATTCTTAATAGATTTATTTATTTAATTTTTTATGAAATATTTGACTAAATGATAAAAACTATAATATGAATATGAATATGAATACTGTACAGTATATAAATTTAATTAATATACTATTTGCAATATTTGAGTATAAGTTAGAAAATATATATGAATAATATTACATTAATTTTAGATATAAAGACTTTTAATATATTTATATATAATTTGTAATGTTAATTAAATTATTAATTGTATAAATTAATTATCATTTTATTATGACAAATTTATAATCATTTATTTTAATAACTTAAATAATTTAGTTTTTCGTCGACTTGAATGAGTGGCTCCGGAGTAGTATTGGTGTGTTTGGGACAACCATTTCAGGGTTATTGTAACGTCTGTCAGACATTAATCGATAGATTAGGTTATAGTGACTATAAGTGAGTCGGAAAGTAATCTGCGAGAAGTAATTGGTTGAGTGATCCCAACAATACCTATATTTTATAAGTTACTATTTATGAGAGTATATACTTGTAAATCAATTGCAAGACTGATGTTGGTTATGTGCCCAACGGTGCTAACAATTAAGGTAACAGGTGGGCGATGGTGTATATGCCACTGTCAGTGCTGGCGCAACAAATTTAACCGGTATTCAGGAGAGACACGTATAGCAAACATTGGTAGAGACGAGACTACGGGTGATATCCTTTAATTTAATGATAAAATATACTGTTTATATGCACAAAGTTTCCATAAATGTATGATTTTTCTTGTTTTGTAAGGACTGTTGCATCCAAAGAACTGCTACTCGTGGTGTTAGCCAAGCGTTTCACCCATTGCTGCCCTACCGTACATACCATACAGTATCTACTGTTCCCCTTAAAGATAAGCATATGTTCAATGGCTTTGTCTGTAATTGACAGTGAATTATATAGAAAAAAACTGATTTTTCTTAAAATCAAATACAGTATATATTAGTTTAACAGCCATTTGATGTTTTGATTTAAATTTACACACTTTTAACTAAAAATTATTATAATCTCATAAAAGTATGTCATTATAATTCTAAGTATTGATTAATCAGTGATATTATATTTATATTATATTTCATAATTGATAATTAATAATTGATAACTATTTCTATAAAGTAAAAAATAAAAGTATAAATTATTACTATTTTTGATTTAATATTAAAACTAAAAATATTATTATTATAAAATAGATGCTGTTTCACAAAATCTCATGCATTTATATATTTCAATGTCACATATTTCACATTTACCTATATATTATATAATAGTTTTATTGTTAAAAATAGCAGCTTTTTCATAAGCAATTAACTTTAATTACAAACATGCTTTAGTGACTTAAATTATATTATTAAAAACAATATTTATGATACTTTTCAATGTCAGACATTTGTTATGTAATGATAACCCATTACAAGTGATATACTGTTATTCATTACAGTTTCGGGGATGTAATCATTAAAAGGTGTGGTTGTCGTAAAAGTCTGATATGGTATGTGTGCTAAAGTCTAATATCATATACAATATAAACATCACATTACACTCTAAACGTTAAACCTTACAGTGCTTTACAGTTAGAGTGCATTACACTCTTACAAGTCGTGATTTTTCAGTCCTTTCCCTTCAAATCACACCCAATATGTATTCAATAATAGTATATTAAAAAACATTTTAAGGCTATTGAGGCAAATCAATGTTTTATTTGTTGATATAATTCATCTAATTATTAATCCAATCATTAATAGATACAATTATTTTAGAAGTAATTCATTAAAATTTTTGATTTAATAGTAATGATTCATCAATGCTTTACACAATTTAAGGCTCTGTTAATTACATTAACTATTAATGAAAAGCACTTAATATGATTTTTTATAATTTTGGCAAATGTTATTTATATAAATGACTCATAAATTACTATAAATTTTAATCTTTATATAATTCATTATGATTAACAATATAATATTTAATATTAAATATAGTATAAACTTGAAATTTTAATATCTAATTTTTGTTAAAATCGTCGCCCACTATTTATTAATAGTATTTGAATCTTAAATCATAATAAAAATTGTGTATAATTATATGACAATACATAAAACATCGTTTATATAAGTATTGGATATAGCCTTTAATTTGCTAACTTTTTCGTATATTAAATGAGAGCATCATTTTGATGGACTGCAAATACAGTATATTGTTTTTATTACTTTACATTAACATAATATAACAATCAATTGAATATGTACTGTATTTTCTGCATTATTATATCTATTACTTGTAGTTGTCTAATAAGCAAATGTTTGATCATTTACTGATGTAACATTGTATAACATTTAATAAACTGTATATATTAGACAATAATAGTATATTATTTTAGTAATGGTTAGCACGAAAAGATCCGATATATAAAAAATAGATAACTTATTGATTGTCTAAACTTTGATCACATTGTGTGGGAGAGATGGGGTGAATAAATATTATGATCTAACCGTCCATTTATTAGAAACGTCATATCAATAGATTAATGCAAACAAAATATTGTGTATTTATTATACATTTATGGTAATGAAATACAAGTTAGGGCACCGGTAGTTATACAGTAAAATCATTCACATTGATCTACATTATGTAATGCAACCAATAATAAAACTCATATTTTTTAAATGAATGCTATTAACATAAGTTATATAGACTACTATAATTTATACTCTATTATACTAAAACAAAAATAATATTCTTTATTATTACTGTATTATATAAATATGTTTAGTATATTTATTTGTAGACAGTTATTATCATACTTTCAAAATCAAGATATTTGTAATGCAGATATCAATTGTATATTAAATTGTCATTTAGAGACACAATTATCATAATTTTTCTCAATGAATTTCATTTAGACTAATAAATATATATAAGTCACTATACAATACTATTTATTACGATAATTTATTTAATATATTATTTATTAAATTTTGATATAAATATGTAATATATATAATTGCATTATTTATGTAATCAAGTTAATGTGAAAAACTTAATAACTAATAAAGTAACAAAAATAATTATACAATAAATAATTATACAATAAATAATTTAGCAAATATATTTATTAATTGAATTTGATAAACTAAGTTTGGTATTTAATAATATAAAATTTTAGCAATTTTTAGTTAAGTGTCTGCACGTCAAATGTAAGAGACATTTGACATGATATTAGAAATTATCAAATAAGTTGTCACAGCTTTATTGTGTAAACATTTGAGTCTCAAATTCAATGATGAGGTATTATGTCTACAGTCTAAATGCTCTCTCTCTCTCTCTCTCTCTCTCTCTCTCTCTCTCTCCAATAAGGGTGTCATCGCTCTTGACTTTATAGCCATATCTGTCATTCATATATCAGTCTCTATCTCTACCATATCTCTGGTAATATCATTCATATATAATTTTCTTATTATTTTGATATGACTATACTGTACAAAGTTATTGCTTGCAAAATAAGTTTATTATAGTTTAATGTTTTTATTGTATGTGTTATAAAAATATTATGTCTCTCATATGAAAATATCTATGAAAATAGTAAGAAAAAACATTTTTCTCAAAGGAAACAATTAATTATCTTTTTTTAGATGAGTTTATATAATTTATATGAGTTTCTGATCTCAAAGTTGTTAATATAAACTAAAATAACGCTCGAAGTCATGTCTTTCCTTTGACTGTTTCTTAACAGTAGATTAGCCACAAAAAAGCTAAAGATATAATAAATAATACAATTAAATCATATGTACGTCTAATTTAAGTTTACTTATCGTTAATTCAAATAAGTTAATCATCACTTGAGTTGTGGTTTTTATTATTTATACATTTGAAACATTTATTTTGTAATAAACAAAATAATGTACATTTTTATATAACAATTATAGGATTATATTTTATTGTATTAAATATTAATATTAGAATCTTGTTATTCATTAATTAAATTATAATCTTTAGCAACAATTTTTATTAAATAATAAATTTTATTAAATCAAACAATTATTCATTTGAGTGACTTTTTCCGGTAATTTGCAACTAAATTCATTCATTACTTGACTAATAAATAATTTAAATTTATAATTTGTTAATTCATTTAAACTTTACATAAAAAATCTTTTTATGTTTAATTTTTTAAAAATGATTAATTTCACAAGTGATGCATTTAAATGCTAATATATCCAAACTTGAACTCAAAAAACTTAAGACACGAGTTTTGCAATTGTTATGTCAGTCATTTGGAAATTGTTTTGATATAAAACTAATAAATTTAAATTCATTCAGTCATTTCATATAAATGTTTATTTAATTGACATTTAATAAATCAAAGTTTTATTACAACAAAACTATACTATAATATTTAAAATATAATACGAATTAATAAACAATACAACTATTAATATTGAATAATACAGTACATTAAATAAGATACACTAATACAGTAACAATATATTATATAATATTTATTTAAATACTTTATATCAGCTTTTATATATAGTACTGTAGTACTGATTATACCAGTAGTGAATATTATAATCCGATATTATATACATATCATTTACATAGTGTTTTGTATTCAAGCAGAAATTAAAAAATGTTATTTTAATATTTTATAAAATTAATAAAATAATTTAGAAATATATTTAAGCATTAATAATATGTATTGAATGCAAATAAAACATAAAATTTGGGTTTAGTTTTCTTGAACAACATTGATATAACTTGTATAATACATACATATTGAAGAAGTTTTATATATTTATCATTTATCTTTGTATTTATATTGTTTCACGTGATAACAATGTATTAATAATTAGATATTTAATTGAATTTAAATTTAATCGAAATTTTTAGTAAAATACAACATTTTTATCAAAAAAAAAGTTTATTGTTTTTGTCTGTTGTCTAAAATTTTATACTTTTAATTTAGTGATGAATAGATTATCATTCGTTTACTTTCGTATTTTTCTAATCATATTATCAGTGAAACTGATTTTGTTGGTAACATTGTGTCAATCGACTGATATGTCAGACTTTTGCAACAAAGATGTTATCAAATTGGATGTCAAATCTGCCTTTAAATTAGATCAATGGTTAGGAATATTTGGTGAAATTGAGGTGACTGGCGGTCAAAAATCCAAAGAAGCATTTCGTGTGCTTTATAATGAAAGAGGAGATCCCAGTGAAAGTCAAAGTACCGAACATTACTACTTTGACGCCAAATTGTGGCCAGAAATGAGAGATCAGGCTTTGGACGACAAATCCAAGAGTTGGAACATTTCGTATGCCTTCTCAACCATTAATCTAAGAGTCTTTGTTCTGCCGGTGCAAAGTAGTTCACACGTGGCATACTTGACCTCAAGTGTTGTTTAATTAACAATTGTTTTGTTTTTTAAATATAACTTATGAAGTAATTTTATTTTTCTAACATTTAATTTATAGGAAACAGACATTATCTATGCCTATGATATTGATATACACAGTCCACTGAACAATGGTGGCGATCTTAAAGATCCAACATTTAAGATAAGAAACAAATTGATGGTTTACGACCCAAACAATGGCGAAGACCACTCAAGAAAGTTGACACTTAAGGTTTTGTTACTTCACTTTCCAAGTATTGTCAAAGTATTAGATGTCATGATATTTGATCACAGAAACAAAAACGGGAGTTTGGCTTTTCATGCATTGGTCTATACCGAGGGTATGTCTCTATGTTTTCAAATGACATTTTTAAATGATTTTTTTTTAAATTAAAGAGATCTTCGATAACGTTCACTACTATGTGAGACACTTCATGCGATCCGACCCTAAATCTTACACCGATTACGAGAATCGCAAATTTCACAGACTTTACTGGACTTTTGATGAGAAAAACGATTATTGTATGACTTTGGACCACAAAGTCACAGGAGTGACATATTTGCGAACAGAACAGACCTTTCAGGGATTTGCAGAATCAAATGCCTACAACTATCAGGACTATGACTTTAACGTCTATTTTATTGAATTTTTGGGGATAAAACATCGGATTATGAAACTTCAATTTGATGCCAAATCTAATACATACCAAACATTTACTGTAAAAGACAACATCGACAACAAATGGCTGCTTCATTGCAAACCCCATCCCGACTATAAGTCTGTTCCGCTAATTAAATGTGACGATTATATCAATGATAATGTCGATCAAATTGGCAATTATGATTTGATAGACAATGGAGGAGAAAGTGAATCGGGATCAGGACCTAATGGTTCCGGTGCTTGGGTATCATTTTAATCATAATTATATGATGTTATCAATTATTAATTATGATTATTGTTTAATTGTGAACAGTTATGGGTAGTAATAATGATATTAATTATATTAATATTTCTTTTGGTTGGATATTTGGTATTCATGTTGGCTTCAGCTAACAGTCCCAACAAAAGTCAAACAAAAAGTTCAGAAAAAAGTTCTTCTAAACCATAAAACTTGCATTTTTAAAAAAATGATTATCAATTAATTTTATAGATATATTTATTTATTTTAAATTTGATTTAATTTTAAATTTTAAATTTATTATATTCTATTGTATAACTTATATAAATTTAGAATTAAATAATATTTATTGACTCGTAAATCTTAACCTCATAATATAATTTTTAAGTTTTAATAAATTAATTAATGAGTATATAATAATTTTTTTTTGTTAAATGTAAATAAAAAATTTATTTAATATAAAAATTTATATCTACTGTATTCTAAAAACTAAATATTAAATAATAAAATAAATAAAATATAAAAAATTAATTATATTTTTTCTAAATGTTTGAGAATTAGTTCCAGTTTTTTGGTGATACCTTCCAAATAGATTTTCGTGTAAAAAGTTTTGTCTTTCAGATCGGAAAGTCTTGCCTCAAGACGTGTTATTGTTGACCAAAGTTCCAACTGTTCTAACGATTCGTTACCGAAAGTGTTTGGTCTGAGTTCGGCTCTGAACTGACGGCGAGCACTGAAATACTTAAGTTTATAAATAAAACAAATGCATTGTTTGTCTAAATCAGACAAATTCGACCGATTCTTAGCCAATAAGTTCCAAACAGATGTCATCTTCGTTTCGTTGTCTGTTGCATAACATTTCCAAAAACTTTGGATTAAATTTGAGGCCGGGTTTAGAAATAAAACATTTTTTTGTTGTTCCTTTAGTTTAATGGCTAAACCCGTACCAAATATATTAGCCGGTAATTGATACATACAAATGCCAATACATGCCAATACACATGTGAATAGTCGACCCAAATCGGTGACGGGTGTGACGTCTCCGTAACTGTTTTTCAAATCAAAAATATGTTATAATTTATTATTGCTTATTCAGTATATATTGATTATACCCAATAGTGGCAAGAGTTATATATCCGAACCAAAAAGAATCAAATATGGAGTGTTTGCCCTCCAGTTCCACTAAATAGACGCCTTGACTAATGACTACCAGTGCTATTGACACAAATATTAATGCGATATAAAGTTGTAAAAACTGGTCTAAGATAGTGCTGGCCATCAATTTTATTAAAGGCAATAAAAGTCTATATAACTGAAACACTTGAAGAATGTGAAAAAGTCTTAGAATTAATCCTATATTGTCATCAAATTCTTGTCTGAAAATGAATGCCGAAAATGTAATGACACCGATGAGGTCAAGTCCTCGCATAAAACCATAGGTCTTAAGATATCGAAGTCTTCCATCAAATCCACGATAACTTTGAATGCAGTCCGCAGACCATAAACGAAGAATAAGTTCCACTGTTAACAACACTAATGAGAAAATAATAGAAATATATTTGATTACTGTTTTGATAAATTACGAAATACTTACCACAAACACATGAATCAAAGAGAGACATCAAAATAAGTGCATTTTCGCCAAAGTATCCGTCAAATACATTGAAGACAATGCAACTCAAGAAGATTAACACAAAAAACATGTAATGATATGAACGGCTACGGAGTGAAACCGGTCGGTGAAGTACGCAAAACATCCGTAACTTTATTCGAAACCTTCGCGATCTCTTTCGGACCGATTTTAATGGTGTCGTGCGTTCATTAGGTTCTACATTGGATTCAATCTCATACTTAACACTATTTGTTTTGTGATCAGTATTCATAATTTACATTTAAATCAATCATAAGTGCATTCAATTATGTGTTACTGTTATACAGTATATAAATGTATAATATAATATCATTCAAATTAAATGAATGCTATCTATAATTGTTGTTTTATTATAAATTATATATGATTCATAACAATCAACAGTTTACATATCATTTTTATTTGCAATTATAATTTGTAAAACATTTTTTTTCAAAAGATGATTATATAATAATTTAACATTAATGAATATTATGAGACTTCAAGTTTGATTATGATTAACGTAATTAATAATTAACAATTCAATCAAATAACTAAATTATTACATTATAAGTTATAATTTATAACAATTAAGAATAATACTATAAATTTTATCGTAAATTTACGGATACATTTAAATTTAACACCAAAACAGTATAATAAATATCAAACATTTTTTATGAATTCTTAAAAAATTAAACAATTGAAACATTAATTTTAAATATCGATTTACAAGTTATAAGAGATAATTAAATTTAAAATCATTGTTTATCATCAAATTATTTGCATTAAATTTTAGAACATATTTGAATTAAATTTGCATTTCAAGAGGTATTTAATGTTAACCTGATTTACATCATAAACAATATACTCATTATAAAGAAGTGATGTCTTATCTTTGGCTTTGACTCCCTTTCCGAGCGGTACTTTCAAGCCATCGGGTAAAACATGAATCTCATTGGGATCGGGCTCTGTCTCACCGATACCTTTGACACTGTGCTTACCTTTCGGTAGTTTTTTGACATCTTTAGCATCTTTTAATTCCCATCTAAAACAAACAATTAAATCATTTAAACACTATTATAGTTATGTATATTTAATTACAAAACTTACGGCTCTCCAATAGCTACTTCGCTTAACAACAAATAACCAATATTTTTGTTAGCCTGAGAGTGACAATAACCGGCACTTTTGGTAACCATATCTGCAAAGTAGATGCCTTTGCCAAACATATAGCCAGTTACTGGTGCTTCTGGAGGTGCAATCCTCAAGCCTTGTGACAAAATGCCAGCAAAGTTAGTAACTCTTGATCCGTGCCATAATAACATCCTATTCTCAATATGTTTCCATTTGGCATATTTATCGATTTCTCCGTTTCGCTCAACTTTCATGATATCAATAATTTCAAGATTGAAATGATGAGTAGATCCATGAGTGTTCTTCAAATACTTTTCAATTATAGTGTATTCTTCGAGATCTTTAGTTAAAACTTCTAATTTTGTATTCAATTTCTTGTAATGATGATCAATAGGATCTTCTTCGATAACCTTTTCTCCATTCGTTGAAATCATATCATAAGCCATCTCTATATCCAATAGTGTGTCTAACATTTCCATCTTTGTTTTGATCATCTCTTCATTGTCAATAAGTGGTGGCTTATCAGTGCCAAAGTTATGTGGAACTAAAGTGAAGAATTTATTAGTGGCTGTCTTCAGTTTGTTCATATTCGGAGGTTTAACATCAATCAATTGACTCAACTCCTTGAGCACTGAACAGGCATTTAAGAGTTGTTTCTTCGAGAGCTTTCCCAACGGCATCTTTTCTAAGTCAAGTTCAAACTCAAGCATCTGTTCCTTCATCTTCTGGACATCAAATATATTACAAATGAAGTCTTGAATTTCTTTAGAAAGTTTTGAGTTATTTCCGACTTCTAGTTTGACAAACTGTTCAGTTTGATCGCCGCCGTAATCGATGTCAACCGGATAATATAAATCCGGATTTTTCTTAAATTTATGTCTTTTGTTCCAATCGTTTCCAGTTTTCTCTTTATAGTTATCTTCAAAGAAGTCAAGAGCATCGGATACTTTTGAGAATTTTTCTAAAGTATTGCCACCAATGGTTGTGCCCACTCGACCCCAGGATCGGTACACAAAGTATTTTCCTTTTTTGGTGTCGTGTTCCAAAAGTTGAAGCTTATAAAATGAATTTTTGTTTTTAGAGACATCCACTTTGCTTAAGACAACACTATAAATGTCTTTTCCATCTTTATAAATATGTGTCACTTCCGCGACTTCACAATCCGGGTCCACAACATTTCCATCTTTAAGAATCATTTTTTGTTTACCGCTTTTTTCAAAACTTCCTGAAAATATAAATAATAATTAAATAAATATATTTAACTATTACTAAGATATACAGTAAGTTCTAATAAGTAATAAATAAAAATAAATAATTGTTAATATAATAAATGGTAGAAATGTAATCCTCGTATCTGTACTCAAGCCTTAACTTATAGGTTGAGCTCATCGTAAGGAAGACAAGACATCTAATACCGACCATAAAATGCATTAATAAAATTAACAACTTTTATGATCAGATGTCTGTCATATATTATAGGGAGGTTTGTGACCACAAAATTGTACTGATATTATGGTGAGGCATCCACTCCCGGTTCATATAAGCATTTAAAATATAATCAAAGACACAATTACCTGATTTAACGCCAGACTTGAAAGCAGACTTCATTTTTTCTTTAACATTAAGATTTGTATAACGTTTCTCAATGTCGACCTCAAAGTCATCCACTCGGTTGAGACTAATGGCCTGAACGGGTTCTGCGTTGTCTTCAAAAGCAACCAAAGCCTCTTCAGTTACAATAGGAATGGATAACTCTTTGGCTGCAATTATTTTATCCTTTTGTTTATCAAATTCGGCTTTTGTTGAGATAATACAGAGAACTGTTCTGTCGATTTGATCGATAAGCTTTGCGCCTAATTTTGTGAATCGCTGTTTAAGAGTTGATTTTAATGTTTTTGTTTTGCCAATACTCGCAAAGTTATAACCGCTTAGTTTGGAAATGACTTTTCCATTTGTCTCCTCTTTCTTCGGCAATAAATCGGTGGCACTAGAAGTAGAAGGCTTTATATTTTCCATCGCATGTTTGAGCACTAAATTGTATATTCTATCTCTTTCTTTGAATTTATAATCAGCCAAAAAGTCATATTCTTCAACCATCTCTTTGGGAACTTTAAATGGTTTTCTCTTTGGTTGATCTGTTGTCTGGTACGAACATTTGGTCCACTGATCAACATTTCCCGTACATATATAACCAGTTATTCTAAACACAAGTTGTCCTTTCTTACATTCGGGACATTTGTTTGGTACACCAAAAGTCATGGCGTCAGCCGTGCGCTCAAACTTTGATGGCATACCTTCTGGAACCTCAATCTTATTATATTCCATGAGTTCAATCAAATCTTGTTTTTTCATTGATTTCAAAAACTCTTGATATTTGAAGAGTAAATCTGATTGTTTCTTCAGTTTCTTGTCGTCTCCAGAACTCAATTTTGGCTTTTTTGCCGGAGACTCGCAATTGGTCTCACAATCAGCTGGTTTCTCAATTTGTGGTAACTTTTTCTTTAGTAATTTCTTGTCTTCTTCCTCTAGACCCGAAAAAAATGGCAACTTATCGGCTGTAGTGAAGAACTTTAGATTTACTCGAGCGCTAACAAAGCACTCGACGTGAAACCAACGATCAAGTGGTCCAAATCTTCGGGCGTCTTCAGAGTCTCGATCTAAACGACTGATCCGAATCGTATCCTTTTTGATGGTATTCTCACATAAACGACACTTCGATCGATTAGTCTTAGCGTACTCTACCTTAAACTCATTAATATCTGTGCCATTAGTGTCCACAGCAACCGAATCTTCAGTAGCCTTTTTCTTGCGACTTTTCTTCTTGCCATCGCTTGCATTGGAAGCGGTTGTCGATTGTTCACCGCTACCAACCTTTTCAATGGCCGACTCAATACGCTTTTGGTCTTCATATTTAAGATTAGCGAAATGGGCGATCTCTTCGACTCCTTTTGGTCTATATTTCTTGAAGAAGCAGTCGAAGTGATGCCAATTGGGAGACTTGCCATCAAAGAAGGGCGACTGAACCATAACAGCCATACGGATGACATCTTTGGGTATATTAGTCTTACATGTCTTACAACCCGCGCGACCACTCTTTGAGTACTCAGTTCTGAACGGAAGGTCTTCTCTTAAATCCATTGTTCAAACAGATGTCCACTAATTGTAATCATATATAACGTAATGACAGTCAATATAATCAATATTTTCTAATTCAATGTCATTAATGCTATCATTAATACAATCGACACAACAAAACACACTAATAATGCGATACCGCTTTGCACTGCTATTGGCTGACCAAATGTGTTTCACACTCTCATTGGTTGATTTACTTACATAGACTAAGCACCACATTTGAATAACATTGCGTTCACTCAATGTAATCGTCAAACACATAGACATTGTATTAATACTAATAGTAGAGATCTTAACGAATCGAATTGAATCGAATTGAATGAATAATATATAGAAATTATCACATAATTCATATGAATTAACTGATTATTATTTTTAATTATTAAAAAAGTTTTTTATCTAATTTTCTAAACTAATATTATATCCGATAATACTGTATAGTAATACAAATGATTGAAAAATATTAATACTATACACTGTATATACAGTATATGACATCAGTTTTATGATTCAATTTAATAAATTAAAAATAATAATTAAAATCTTATATTATTTTAATTATTAGTTAACTATATATAACTATTAATTGTATATAATAATTGTCATATTATTTTTATAATAATATATATTTAATTAGATAGACAATAGTAACCAAAAAATTATATAAATATATTAAATTTTTAAAAATAATTTCGGATCGCATAATATTATATATAGTTAACTAATAATTAAAATAATATAAGATTTCAATGAATTCATCAAAGTTTATACATTTTATTATTCATAATTTCATTTACATTGATTTTTATCGCTGTATATTATGATTCTTAATAGCATATTAATAGATAGTTAAGTAATTATAAACTTCATTCATATAGACAACAATTATAAATTAATTATAATTATAAACTTTCAATTTTAAAGATTAATCAATTATACAATTCATATCATCCATAATGTTAATGATCTAAATATTTCTAATTATTTGTCAATAGTTTTATCTAAATTTATAATTATCTAAAAAATCTATACTAGAAATTGTTGTAATTTTTTATTTAGATTTCATTATCTATGATATATAGGATGTATTTATTGTGGCAAATGATGAATCCAAGCGAACCGGAAGTGTGTTCTCTGCCAATCTCTGAACACGACATACCAGAGCAGCCATGAAATGAAGACAAGAATGCATTCAATTGGATAGAGAATTACTAATGATATGAAATACTTATGCACTTTGGGATTGTCTTTCATTTTGTAATACAAATGTGGTAAATGTGTCCACAATGCCATCGATACTATTAGATAACCAATAGTAGCCACAACTTGTAGGGCAAAAATAATCGGTAGATAAGACTGGTTCAAGAACTCGATAAAACTCTTGCCTTTCCTCACTATATCCATACCTAATCCGGTGTATTGTGAGCCACAAACACTGCAAATCATAGATCCTGAGGTTTCAATCCAACTCTTAAGACATCTCAAGTGAACCTTTTTCATACTACCGGTGCAATTGCATGGACTTAACACTGGATTCTCGTCAAGTTTATCTTCATTTCCATAGTCATCATCAGTAAGACGACAAATCCTGCATTCAGTCATATCATCCATTCATATGATTTTCATTAACAAATACTTTTATTTAAGTTTTAAGTTATTTTTAAAAAATAAATTTTAAAAATAATTGTTACAAACTTAAATCAAAGTGTCTTTTACTATTGTTAATTAATAATTATATTTAATTAATATTATATGTGATAACATTATGGGTTAATACTATGCTATAAATATTTAAATATTAAAAACCTTAAAATATTTGGATAAAAAAATAATAAAAACAATTTTATCAAATACTGTATTAAGAATGCATTAAAAATGAAATAGTAATGACTTTAATACTTTTAAAAAAATATTTTTTTTTTTGACAAAATTATAATCTTTATTAAACAGAATTATAGACTAAAATTTTTCTGGAGTCATATCTCATCTGATTTATGCCACAAAAATACACAAAATAATTGTTAAATTTAATTAATTAATTAAATAAATAAAATGTTAAACTTTTGTAAATTAGTGTATTTCAAAATTCAAAGACAAGATAAATTCAGATTCAAAACTACATACAGTATATTAATAATATGTTAATTAAAAATGAAATAAATTATGTATAATATTATATTAATTATTATAATTTATATAACAATTATTAAGATATCGTAGTTCATAAAAAAGTTAAAATTATATTATTTTCAATTTATAATTCTATTATTTTTGAAATATCTGTACAAAAATCGTATAAAGTTTTACTATATACAGTATATACATAGTTAAGACAGTGTATGTATAGTACTGTATTTATACTGCATTTGTTACATATTATATGAATTTTTTTGTATCTACAGTACAAATACAATGTAATAGTATTATGCAATAGATGTCATTCATAACAATATTTATTAAGTGTTACATTGATTGCTGTTATTAAGGATTGATTTCAATTGAAGTGATGGCCAAACAATATAGTAGACAATCAATGGATCGCTTCGGTGATGATTTGTGTCAACATTTACTGTCTTATCTGTCACTTGAAGGCCGATTCAAATATGAATGTATTAGCAAACAATGGCAACGACTTATATATAGGTCTGTCAATGATATAAGTGATGAAGATTTGGTCGATAGGATAGGTTTTAGTGGTAATGTTTGCGGCAATTGGCGACCACTTATATGTCTGTTAAGGAAATGTCCAAATATTAGACTAATTTGTCTCAGTTTAGAGATTATCACTGACACTGCCTTTGATATTATCACTGAAATGTGTCCACATCTGCATACCATCAACTTTGGTATTCATGACTTAATTTTAACTGATGATGAACTAAGTAGTCGATCCATTGATGACTTGTTTGCAAAGTATGGCAAACAATTGAATACATTGGTATTACCGCCGACTATTGATGAACCAAATGATTTAGAGAAAGCACTCGTCAAAAATGTCCACAATTGCCATAATTTAGTAAATTTAAGTCTATTTAATGATAGTAATGACGACAGAAGTGGTATAACTGACGATAGGTTTAAGTATTTAATTAATGAAAACAAAATGTTGTTTCCGAAGCTTAAGAAGATAGCCATCACTTATAACAACGATCTCATCAAAGTGTTTGACACTTTTGTCAAACAATACAAGAATCAGATGAAAGCTATTGCCGTAGAGTTACAGTTTAATACTGACGACAAAGCCGTCATAAAACTGGCCAATGGTTTGACACAAATGAAGCAATTGATTGATTTAGCGATCAGTGACTATATGACTGACGAAATGTTAGATTATATACCAAACAATTTATGTTATTTTGCGTTCAATGGCAACAAATTAAAGAGATTATTGTTGAATAATATTGTTGTCAAAGATATTAATGTAATGTCAAAAATACTTGATATAATTGCCAACAAATTTATGTGTTTAACTCAACTTGAATTTAGTGGCAATTTTCTTGAGTTTCCTGAAAACTATTACTTTGAGAGCAAATCATTTAAACAAATAAAACGATTAACACATTTAGTAATAATGCCATCAAAAGATAAGTCATTAAACAGTGAATTCTTCATCAATATTAATGATAATTTACCTCATCTTCAATATCTTTGTCTATCGAAAGTTGAGATCAGCAGCCAATCATTGGATTGGTTATCAAGACTTAGAAGAATACGAAATATCTCTCTGTTTATTGATGAAGATATTGAAGTTCCCGACAATGATATAATGATGAAGTGTCCAAAAATTGTCTCATTTTTGGTTAATGGCGAACAATGTCGTTAAAATTAAAATTAAATTTTTGATTAATAAATCAATCATTGATTTATTTTTATTGTTTTTATAATATTTTATAAACTTTTACTCAAATTATACATTAAATTACTGTAAATTCAATCTTAAAATAATTGCTACTTTATTATCGAATAAAGAAAATTAGTTTTTAAAACTTAATAAATAAATTTAGAAAATTAAACATTTAATTGTAATTTACATTTTATAAAATAAAAATTTATTTATTACTGTAATTAATATTAAACACTAATATACTGTAATCTAATTTTTAAAAAGTTATTTAAATAATTGATGAATAGTTTACATAATTTACAACTTTATTGATAACAACACGTGATTTCAATGTTAGTAAACAAAAAATTATAGAAAACATGAGTTCAACTAATGATGCGTTGCTTAAGACATTAGAGTCAATCGGTCCAAAAGTTTTTAATATTTACGGATCAGTTTGTTTGTGGACACAAATTATAGGATCAGAGCACACAAATGCCATAACATCTTTGTTTGATTTGTTGGACAACCAGTACAAGACATGTGAAGACAAGTACGAGTTGGCCACTCGTATACTTACACATGGATTCGGGAATGTCTTGGATGAACATAGCAAAGATCTGTTACCACCGACACCCACACCATCACTCATAATGGAAGTGACAGAAATTGATGAATCCAGTGATGAACAAGTGATGGTTATTGATGACGATTTTAATGGTATTGACTATAGTCAAGAAGTGAAAGACAATGACAACAAAAGAAAAAATTCAACACAGATTAGTGAAGACAACAACGACAAGTGTATACAACAAATAACCACTGATTGTACCACTGATTGTACCACCGATGGCACACAAAACTCTAATCAACTTATCGATGAAGATATTGAAGAGATGGATGAATGTATAATACCTAATCTTAGTCAAGAAAGCCAACCAATTGATTCCAGTGGTAGTTATGTTGAGGCCAGTACTCAACAATTGAATAATATATTGTCGACTCCAGATTCATACCAAAGTTGTCAGACAACACCTGATAATAATATTCATAAAAAATGTGATAACAATTCAAGTGAATCAAATGTTGACGAATCGATAGAAGAGAGGCCAAAGAGTCCGCTTGAGATACAAATCAATGCAAATGTGGATAATTTGACACCAATTAAACAAAGAATTAACAAACAGTTGAGTCACGACCGGAACAACCATTCACTTTGTGAGTCTCCCATCACATCGTTGTCTTCAACGCATAGAATGTCAACGTTGTCACCGACGCTGTCGAATGCAATGTCAAGTCCTGTATCGAGTTGTTCACCGAAATCAATGTCTTCACGTTCATCACGTGCTAGTAGTTGTCGTTCGGCATCAAAAAGATTAGCGTTTAAATCGCACGAACAGACTATTGGAGAATATAATAGTATTATCCCTTACGAAGTCTATACCTCTGAACAACAATATTTAAAAATGATGTCACCTAACAGTTCCACTAATAATGGCGAACTAACAATAGATAAAATACCGGATGAATTCATTGAAAGAGTTATTGAACAGAACGTCAAAGAACTTCGAAAAAGTGATTCTTAGTTTTAAATCATTTCACAAAACATTATTATTTTTAATCATTTTTTAATTATTTTACACGAATTAAGATTTTTAAAAATAAATTTATCATTAATTTGTGGAATTTTACAGTAAATAAATGACTACAATATATATCATAATTTTTAAACATTACCTAAACAGGTAATCATTTATTTTTACTTTACCGTTAATCTAATTTTGAATATTTTTATCTTTATGTTTAAAAATCTGATTGACAACTTATATGAAATTATAAGTATTATTTAAAAATTTTATAATTATCTGCTCTTAATATTATTATAATTATCAACAAAACATTGAATCAATAATAATTATAAGTGTGTTATATTATAATTACTAAATAACTACAAACTGAACGATTATAACTACGATTAAAAACTAATTTCATTACTTTTAACATATAATTTTGGTATTATATACAGTATTATAGCATTAATTTATTCAATTGATTTGATCGATTATTGCTAATCTTAATAAATTATTGTTGTATTAAATAATAGTATTAAATATACGGGAAAATATAGTATTAAACAATTGTTAAATTACTGTAATTATTACTACAAAAAATAAAGTTTAAATAAATTTTTAGTAACTGACGTTTAAAATATAAATTAAATCAATCTAATGTTGTATATACTATACTTTATAATATATATATATATAATATATGAAAAATGATGATATAATGATCATATATTAATAATATAATACTCTCTGTATTACAAACTTTCATCAATTTTTAAATATAACTATCTTTTTGTTGTTTCCGCCAAACAATTGTTGGTTACTATAGTAATGTCAATATTAGAGATGAGCTCTGAAAACATGAATCATTCATTCAATTATTCATTCAATACTATAAAACTGTATTAAAAATAAAGTAGAGTTTTATTTAACAAAGGGCTGAGTTATTGGGGGGTTATTTTAATTTGATTTAAATCAGACTTTATTCAAATTGTATATATGCTTATATGCTATTGTATTAAATAAACAAAAATATTTTAATTATAAAAATAATATTAAGTTTTTAAATAATTGTTAATAAATAGTAACTTTGTAATAGACGGTCAACAATATCCCCCAACAGTCCAACCCCTGCCACAGTATAACTGCATTAATGCTATGCATTGAGTGTATTGTAATAAATGTCATAAATTTGTTGTCATTTAATGTTTTGATGTTTTTTTGACACATTGTTTGATATTTGAAGACATTTAGTAATAATTTAGTGGACACTTGACATTAAATTTATTGACCAATTGGTTGCAAACCATTAATTGGTTGATACAATCAATCAATTGTCATCAAAAATGTCTGAATTCAATTGCAGTGTAGACGTGCCGCTGGCCATCACTGAAGACTTCGGTGACTTCCAGTGTTCAGAAGATATCGACAATTCAAATACAGTGAGCAATAATCCAACGGAACAGTTGGACAATAAGGCTTTCGTTGAGACTAACGGCTCAACTTTGACGGACAACAGTTTTTCGGAAAGTCTTGAAGATCTGGTCAATACATTTGATGAGAAGATTACAAATTGTTTTCGCAATTATGACGAAAATGTGTCAAATTTAGCGCCCGTTCAGGTCAGGAGTCAAGAAGACATCATGAATGAGTCACAGTATGTTTGCATTAATATATCTAATCTAACCATCGATGACGACTATTATCAAACTTTTATGATATTGTTTTTATAGGATGTGGTGGACATTGACCGGCAATTTTGGTAATATTTTACCGATTGATTGGAACAAAACATACGCCCGAAAACTACATTTACCAACGCTTAACATAAATGAGTCGCTAAATGGAGGCCGCAATCTGTCAAATAATATCAATGAACTCTTTGATCCCAATTGTGATGAAGAAGAGTTGGCCAAAGATTTGGATATGCATTCACTTATATTGTCGAGTCTACAACAGGAACCCATTTTTACAGCCGAACAAGTCCTCGAAGAGATCGATGAGATAATGATGAGTGAGTCGACATCGAGTGTGACCACTTCAGAGACCAACTCATCAGACAAGTCACCGACCAGTTGTGATGAGCGCAAAGAGAGACAGTCGATGGCAGCCTTGCTTTACGAGGAAAAACTAAAGACATACTCAACGGTTCAGTTGAATGAGCTTTATATGGATTTGGAGCGTATGATTCAACACAACTCCGAGACATTGATTCACGAGTTGGCACTCAGGGATGAACTCGAGTTTGAAAAAGAACTCAAGAATAGCTTTATATCTGTATTATTGAGTGTTCAGAATAAGCGCCGACAACACCATTTGGACCGCAAACGAGGCCGTACTGCCGAACCTAAATACCTGACCACTGTTATACCATATAATACTGGTAGTGGACCACCAACTGTAGCCACACTCCAAATGCTCATCAAAAGTAAATATTAATTTTATTGTTTTATTTATATTAATTATTAACAATTAATATTTTATTTAGTATTGCGTGCTATTAATGAGGACAGTCCAACCGTACCAACACTATTAACCGATTATATACTTAAAGTGATTTGTCCCACCACTTGAATTATAAGGACTCACCCTATTTTGAAACACATTGTCACACATTATTTACTTATAAGTTATAAACCATTTAGAGATTAATTAATATACAGTACACTACAGTATAATACTGTATATTTAAAAAAATATTTCTTTTTATGGGTTGTATAATATTTAATGAATTTTTAAATTGGAGTAACAATTTGAATGAAATTATATTTGGATTCAATTTACCGGTATATTAATGTACGGTATTTAGTGATAATTCAATTTTGTTTTTGACACCAAAGTTGATATATTTTTTAGTCATCGATGAGTATATTATAAAAATGTTTGATTTAAATATTAACATTATAGTAATATTCTTATGATAAATATATAGTAAATTATATAAAGGCTTGATTGCAATTTTAATAATGATTTGAAGTTTATCTCATAATTTAGGTCTCATATTTTTACATTATTTATAATTGTTATAATTAATATCGAACTACATATATTAATATATATACTAATATCTAAAATTAAATTTAGTAATTAAATTTATAAGTATTTCGATATTAACCTAAGATATTTTACATTTGGTTACAATTTTATGTGTAAATATTGTTTTTAGTGTAATTTAATTAAAGGTAACATGAATGACAAACTATGTCATATAAATTTACAAAAATTACAATTTGATGGAAAATATACTCTAATTTTATTATAGTTTAAACAAGAGATTTATTTTTGTGATTTAGGTATTAATATACGTGATTGACTTTGAGCTGATTATAAATTTAACTAATTTCTACAACGTTATACTTTATATTGTTTGAATGTATAGTATATTTTAATACTAAAAGTATATATATTTATTATCTATATATTGATCAAAATGATTTTTTTTTTTTTAATTGTTTGTTTTGTATTTAAATTTAATTATTAAATTTTACGCCAAATGTATTACATATTTCAATAATTGAAAGCATGTAATGCCTCAAAATTCAGCTCAAAAATATTAAATGCATTTTTAAATTGTGGTTTTAATAAATTACTATTTCTCATAACAATCTTATGTATTGTTGATTTTATTTAATTATATTTTAGTTAGTTTATAATATTTTTTGATTATATAAACTTATAAAACTTATTATTCACTATTTTATATTATATTAATTGTTATAATTTAAATCATTAAATAATATATACAAATAAAAATGATATTTAATTGCTTGATTAAATTGTTACTACAGAGTATAAATAGACAACAAAGGAAATAATAAACTTGTAATTGAATTATTTCTTAAATAAGTTATTAAGATTTATTAAGTATAATATTACACCACCTAATAAACGGCTATTTAATGCTATGTTTTTAATAATAATAATAAATTTGATCTAGTACATTTCAGTTATTTATTGGCATTTGAAAATATTGCAGAATTAGTAAACATTTGACATAAAATTAGTTTTTTTTAACTAAACATATTGTGTTTTATTTGCAATTTATTCAATAAAAGTAACAGATATTTGAATATTATAAATTATATACAAATTATATTTACAAACATTAATCAATTAATTAATTTCTAAATAAATTATTGTGGTATCAATAATAATAAAAGTTATTATTTATAATCTATATTATATATGTATATATCTTTACAAAAGGATGTGAAATTTAGAAAAAATAATTTAATTATACAACTGTTTAATATTTTAAAAATATTAATATATTATACTTTGTTTACAGTATTCTTATTAAACGTAATATATTATACTAAAGTAATACAGTATAATGATTTCAATTTATAATTATGTCAATCATACCATATATACTATTTTAAGTGCAAATTATGTACAAACTAACACTTGTCATATGATTGATAGTTTGATAATCAATTTGTAATATCATTAGTACTGTATTTTCATAATACTGTATAATAAGGGTAAGTATTAAATATATTGTTTAAAATTCAATTATTATTTATAATATTAATATTTAAAAATTTTTAAATTATATTTTTAATATACAGTATTAATTAATTTAATAATATTACAATTATTATTATGTATTTATTTAATACTATATGTCATAAATTTATATTTAAAAGCAATACAAATACAATAAACATACTATTGTTTAGTATAATTCATTATTTATTCAGCTATTTTTTTATTTTATAATTTTTTAAATTACATTTCTAATATAAATATACACTGTTTTTTATTTGATAAGTATTTAATAAAATTATGATTTTTTAAAGATATAAAAATGCCTAAAATGTTGGATAAAATATGTCAAATATGTGAAGATAAAGCAAGTGGTATATATATATAATATACTAATGATATATAATTTTGTTTAATAATATATATAAATATTAATTTGTTTAAAGGTTTTAATTTTAATGCCATTACATGTGAATCTTGTAAAGCGTTTTTCAGAAGAAATGCCACCAAAGAAAATGTATAAAAAAAATTTGTGAAAATATATTAATATTTGTTAATTATTAGCAATTTCACTGTTTTTTGGGCGGTAAATGCAGAATAAATTTAATGTATCGAAAGTATTGCAAAATGTGTCGATTGAAGAAATGTTTTGCTATGGGAATGAAAAAAGTAATAATAAATTTTATATGAAATTAATGAAATTATATTTAATTTTTTCTGAAGGATCTAATACTTAGTGAAGAAGAGAAACAGTTTCGACAAAATAGATTGAAAGAGAAGAAGAAACTGAAACAACAGATTATCGATGAGTTGACCAAAATTGCCGACACGTCTACAGTTGATGTCGTTATTAACAGTACCTCACCATCACTTGTCACACATAATGTCAATGATTTGTTAGATTCAATGGACTCTAATAACTACGACAAAAATGATAATAAACAAGAGTCTAAAGTCAATAATCCTGATTCAGATAATCAGATTTCAATTGATATCAACCAAAAATCGTTTGAATTATCAATGATTCCGATTTCCAGACAAACTATAAGTGTTGAGACATTCAATGAACAGGAAGGCAATCGTCTAACTGAACTGTTCAGTGCTATTAAGACACTAAACAATAGATCTCCAAAGCATTCAATTGTAATAAATCCTGATCTAAATGAAGCACTTCGTGTTATTTATAAAAAGTTTGAAACAGATATCAAAAAAATTGTCAAATTTTCTAAAGGATTGTTTGCATTCAATGGTCTTTGCGATGACGACCAGATCTGTCTTATTAAGTATAGTATAATAGAGATCGTAAACCTAAGAATTTTACTCCATTTTAACCCAAACCACAGAATCTGGAATATTCTTACGGTATTTTTACTTATATTAGTTATAGTCAATACTGTAATCACATTATTAAACATTTTATGTATTATTTTTTTAAAATTATATTCAGGATAGCGATACATCAGATTTATTGTTTATTGATATTCTTAAAGAAGGAAAAAGAAATTATTACCAAAATTTTTGTGATTTTATTGATAAAATATCCGCTGAATGGCATTCAGATAAATCTATTATTGATTTGGTAGTCATAAATAGTACTTACAAATTGATTTGTAAATAATTATCTAATTGTTTTATTTTATTATTTAGTTAACAGCAATCATATTATTTGACCCAAATAGACCTGATTTAAAACATTCTGAATCTATTAAGTAATTATATTAAATTTATTTGTCAACAAAATTTGTGAAATTAATAATTATTTAATACTAAATATGAATTGATTATAGACTTCAACAACAAGTTTACATATATTTACTCCAACGATATTTGGGTATACAGTTTGGTAGCGATTGTTTGGCTAAGACTACGTTTTTAAGACTCTTAAATAGTTTGAATGACTTACACATTATAAACAACAAGATTGCTCTTAATTGGTCCGAAAGGACACCAATAGTTCCTATACTTAAAGAGATTGCCGACAGAAAGTATAGTATAACTGAATTTTATTGAAAATATTAATTGTAATAATAAATTATAATATATTATTACATTATACTGTAATATGATTAGAAATCAACTATATAATATTATAATAATACTGTATATAAAATATTGAAACTTTATGTACTAATGTAACCAAATGTAATAAAATCGATGATAATGTATTTTACGGTATATCCTAAATTTATCAATGTTTGTAAATAAACATAAAAACTATTTATAACAAGATTAACTTGGATTTAAATATAATATTTATATTTGATTACAAACATTTTACAAATTAAATTTTCTAGTAAGATAACTATTAAATAACAAATATCATATTGTTGTTAGTTTTTCTGTTTTTTATCAAGATCATTTCACATATTTTTTATCAGGTTTTATTATCCACTAAATAATTACTAACACTTAAATAATAATATATTATACAGTATAATTTATACTAGTGTATATTTAATAGGTAAAGAAATAATAATATAATATTATAATATACTATATATAAAATTTATATAATACATGTATATGTACGGCATTATCATTATTAATACAATGATGATGATAATTGTTCAAATTTATTGAATAACCCTCGGGATATACTTATACAGCTTTATATTAATATATAATTTTATAACTTATATTTTACTAGCATTTTATACATGTAGTTGACTATTAATAGTACTGTACTTTATAAGGTTTTCAAAGTGTATTTAATTTGTCCTAAATAAGTAGTTATTCAAAATCAATGATATGAAATATACAGGTAAACTACAGTATAAATAATTTGTAATTTGTATGGACTTTGTATGACATTTTGGTGTATATACTGTCCATTTGGTTAAATCAAACAAAACATTAAAATATAGTTAACGAATGGCATAGTGTATTGAAAACTGATTACCGTAAATGATAAAGTGATAAAGTGATCAAGGTCATATTCATGTTCATATTACAGGCATTAGGAAACAACTTGATGTGTGTTTATGTTTTTGTGTAATACAATAGTGTAATCGTCATTATAATAAAATTAATATGTTTATTAATTTAGTGGATAGTCTATTTTTGGGGAACTCCCGATATTTTTAGATACTGGTGCTCTTTAATGCCATGTTTGCCATATTTATTCATATATGATAAGTGTGTGTTTATATTTAATGTTTCGCATTATAGCCGTCCATTATAAATATACTTTAGTATATTATATATATATATATATATATATAAGTAATTTTAACTAATTTATAAACATACAGTGCTTTTATTTATATTATATAAATAACTCATTACTAGAAATACTACAGTATTTGGCATTTGCAGTATAATGTAATACTGTATCGTAATATTATACTAAAATCAGTACTAATATTAAATAAATTATAAACAAAGTGATATCAAAGCTATATTTTGGATAATCATTATTTTATAAGTAATAATAATGTGATTATAAATTTTGTGCTATGGATTAACATTAAATTATATAATTATATAAATTATTTTCAAAAATAAATAAAAATAAAATCTAATTTCACTTATCATAAATAGTATATGAATTTGATTATTACATACCAGTGCTGATTACAATGTTTTTATGATCAAAATTTACTAATTAACAAAATGCCCAAAAAATTTAACAAATGTTGTGTCATATGTGGTGACAAAGCAAGTGGTAAGAAATGTTATATCATTTATATAATAACTAATTTAAATTATTGTCTAATTAATAATATTTAATATGAAAATATTTAAAATAATAATTGATTTAAATACATAAAGTTGATCATGGTCAAATAATTTCTATTTAACATTGAAAACTCATTTTAAAAATTTGTTTTTGAAAAAAATGTTCAATTATTAGTTAAATAAGTTATGATTTTTTAATTTCTAAATCTATAATTAGGTTATAATTTTAAAGCCATTACTTGTGAGTCTTGTAAAGCATTCTTCCGGCGAAATGGAGACAAATCTAAGAATTATCTTCAGGTAATATAAATTTTTTAAAAAAATTACAGTTATTTTGAATTTAATTTACATATAATATGATTAATTGAAAAAAATACAATTAATATAATTATACAGCAATTTAAATGCTTTTCCGGTGACAATTGTAAGATAGATGTCTTAACCCGAAAGTTCTGTAAAAAATGTCGACTAAAGAAATGTTTTGATATCGGAATGAAAAGTGTATATAAAATTATTTTTAAATATAATATTAAATAACTAATATATTATTGGAATAATTTAATCAATGCATTGATATTATAGGAATTGATACAAACGGAAGAGCAAAAGGAGGTCCGGAGGAATAAAATTAGGGAAAGAAAAGAACAGAAACAACAATCTGTTTGTGAAAAATCGAGGAAAGATAGTGTCAACTCATCCGATGAGTCCATGTCTTGCATTATTAGTAGTGACAGTACTAGTGATACAAATAGCTCACCAAAAGTACAAGAGTTGTCACAAAGCGAATCAAATACTTGTGAAGAAATAAGTGATACTAAAGACGAGTTCACGACATTTGCCGAATTTATGGCATCAAAAAACACGACACAAATATCAAGTAATGTCTATCGCGAGGCCGTGGAGTTGGAGTTAAGTGTTATACCGATTCCCAGAGCTATGAATAGCGAAGATTTTAATGAATTAGAAGCCAAACGGTTTGATGAGTTGTTTGATGCGCTTAAGATTCTCAACCATCCGGTGCCCAAAAGTACAGCCATTGCAGATGACATTACGGAAGCGATTCGGATAATGTGTTTTAAATCAGATTATGATATCCGAAAAATAGTGAAAATGTCTAAAAGGTTGAGCGCTTTTCAAGCACTTTGCGAAAGCGATAAAATATGTTTACTTAAATACTCGGTTATTGAGATCTTCACACTTAGAATACTCTTGGATATGGATTTTGATAAATATTACTGGAATATTGTGACCGTATGTTTGTATCAAATATAATGATAATTAATTTAATTAATTTAAAAATATATTTTTATTGATTTTTCTTAAAGAATAGCGAAGTCGGGACATTGGTATCAATGGATTTGTTAATTAAGGGTAAACGCAATTACATTGAAAGTTATGCCGATTTTATTCGCAAATTTCTTCCTGAATGGGATTCCGATAAAGTGGTTATAGATTTGGTAATTTGATTGTAAAAACTAAATTTACTTTTATTATTATAACATAGTTTTGTTATGAAATTATTTAGTTGTCAGCAATACTATTGTTTGACGCCAGTAGACCGCTATTGACACATAGAGAGTCTATTAAGTAAGTATACAAATTATTATTTTATGATTGTCTCATCAATAATATAATACTATTAAAAAACAGTATTATTTTTATATATATTTTAAAACAAGACATTTGTTTAATCAATTAGAGTTCAACAACAAGTTTATATGTATTTACTTCAGCGATATCTTCGTATGCGATATCCATCCGAATGTGACGCTAACATCAAATTCTTGCGTTTATTAAATAGTTTACATGACTTACATATTGTCAATGAAAAGATCGCCAGTGCCTGGTCTGAGGGACCGGTAAATACACCACTTCTTAAAGAAATTGCTAACAGAACTCAAACACAAACTTCATTTTTATTATAAAATATATTTCATATATAATTCATAAAAAAACAATTGAATCTCATTTGATAATTTGAATCTTATGATACATTATATTTTATATTAATTTTATATTTAAATAAAAATATATATTATGAAATCCTATTTAATATGTATGTAGATATTGTATACAATGTATTATTTGATAGAATCTACTGAAACAATGATTATGAAACAAATATTACAATGAAATCAATTATTAAAATGTTATATATTTGTTATTAAATGTTTCTAGATATAAATATAATGAACTATTGTTTCATTTTATGTTTACAATTATATCATATTTAATTAAATTTGTAAATATTATGAAAACTATATTATTAAATAAATAAAATATTATTTTGGTTATCTGAAATTTTAGAAAATTGTATTAATATTAAATTATTAAGTGTATCATTTAATTTGATAATGTTAGTGAGCTTCAGATAAATTACTAATATTATATATAAGTTTTAATTGACTAATAATAGTTATTTTTAATAACCGATTAAAACAAATTTTAAATGTCAGAGTTTTTACCCTTCAACTAATGAATGCTGGGATTTATTACCAAATCACTAGTTATATTATATATTTTTTTTAAATATTTAAATTTAATTTTAAATGTTTTATTATAAAATGCATTATATATTAAATAAAATGACATATCATATGACTTTTTTATGTTTGCATAATAAGATAAGACAAGTGATATGGTTGGCTTGGAAATGGCTATTCACTGCAATTTATTAATTGTATTGATGAAAACATTTCACAAAATTAAATCATTATAATTATAATTATTTGTTATAAATATTGTATTTTTATTATAAATTGTTTTTAATTGGATTTATATGTTTGAATAAATTATTGAATACAAATGACAGACAAAGAGACTATTAAAATATGTTTGGTTTGCGGCGATAAAGCAATAGGTAATGAACTCTATATACATTTTTATGTATACCTATATATTTGTCAATAATTTAAATTTAAAAACACATATTTCATAACTTAAAATATACAGTACTTTTAATATGATTTTTAAAAACTGACAAAAAATTAACATATAATATGTTGAAGATAAAATTTTAAAAATGTGAAATAATAATTAAACTATTTTACATATGTTATATAAACTTAATTTTTCTAAAAATTAAATAATTAAAAATGATGTATAATTATAATTTTATATTTAACCAGGTACAAATTTTAATGTAATTACTTGCGAGTCATGTAAAGTATTATTCAGAAGAAATGCTTTACATTATGAGGTAATTGTCAACAATAGCTCATAAACTGTTCAATAATTTAATTTATATTTTTATAGTCATTTAAATGTCAATTTGGAGACAACTGTATCATTGATGTCTTGAGGAGAAGATTTTGCAAGAAATGTCGTTTAAAGAAATGTTTTGATGTGGGAATGAAAAAAGTATAAAAAATAATTTAAAGAATAGTTATAATTATTAAAAATTAATTATTATTTAAATGAGTTTTCAAATGTTGTCATTTGTTTTCTTAAGGAATGGATTCTTAACGACGACGAGCGTAAAGTCCGTCGAAAGAAGATCGAAGAAAATCGTAAAAAACGAAAGATTTCTCAAATATCGCAAAGCGATGCTTCAAATTCAGACACAAATAGTCAAATGGATACAGAATTTAGTAATAGTCTGCAGATTCTGGAGAAAACCAGTGATATTGATGTCAATGACGAACGACTCAATAAAGAAATTATGGAAATCAAGAATTATATTAAAAGTAAAGAAATACTTGAAGTGTCTGATAGTGTCTTCTATAAGGCCGTCGAGTTTGAGTTTTCTGTTGTTAATTCAATGGCCCAACCGTTTGATAAAAACAATTTAACAGATATTGAGGCTAACCGTATGTCTGAGTTAATCAATGCGACTCAAGTGATGACAACCATTATGTCTACTCATGTAATGTCGGATTACCAGAAAGCGGTTATACATGAGTTTCAGCAAAACAAAGTGCCTGAATCGGCCAATGATATCACTAAATTGATGGCAATTCAATTGGAGAATATGGCCATCAAAACAGTAAAGATGTGCAAAATGTTGAGTGGATTTAAAATTCTGTGCGAAAACGACAGAATCGCTCTTTTGAAGTACGGATCCATTGAAATCTGTACCATTCGGTCGGTCCTAACATTTAACTTTGAATCCGAGTACTGGACTTTTGTTTTGGTTGGCAATCAAATAATATATTTTATTTATTGATAAAATTAAAAAAAAAGTTATTATTTATTATTTATTTAAATAATAGGATAGCGAAAACTCTGTTGTCTTACATCTGGAACTGTTAAAGCAAAACAAGAAAAATACATTTATTAGTAATAGAAACTTCTTGAAGAAGATTGAGGCAGTTTGGGACTCGGATGTTGTTATCATTGATTTGGTATATTATTAATCTATAATCTATTATAAATAAACCGATAATTATTATTAATATCATAGTTGACTGCAATAGTATTATTCAATCCGGAACGACCTACTCTTCAACATAAAGAGTTAGTCAAGTGAGTTATATGCCATTAATAAACAATTATTAATATTAATATTATTTATTAGTATTATTTTGTATCATAATTTATATACTTATATTATTTCAATATAGCTAATGTTAAAAAAGGACTAATTAATAACATTTACATAATCAATATACAAATACTATCTATTTTATCAAATAGATTACAACAACACATTTACATGTATTTATTGCAACGCTATTTGATGTCTAAATACCGGTCGGAATGTGAGGCAAAGTCAAAGTTTTTAAGGCTATTAAACTGTTTGACAGATTTGCCGATTTTGAATGAAAAGGTTGTCCAGAATTGGTTGGAAGCGGACACCAAAAATACAATGCCTTTAATGAATGAAATTTGTGACCAAAATAAACCTAATATTATGTCTTAATGTATTGATATTTATAATTAATGTAATCAGTTTCGGTATTTTAAATGAATTATTTGTTAACGTAATAAAATTTGTACTAAACTAGTATTTATATAATTATTGTTCAATAAATATTATGCAATATAAATAAGTCTTTAGTACATTTACAACAAATATAATTTAAGTATTTTATTACTTAGTTGAATATAGGATTATATAAAAAGTTAAATAACTTGAAGGTTAAATTAATTTTAATTATTTAACTTAAGTTAATACAGCAAATCGTTTAAGGAAAACAAAACATTATAATATCATTATCTAAAAAAATAAATATTTAATATATTATTTTATCATTTATTAAAAAATATGTTGATTTAAATAATATTCTTTTTATGCAAAGTTTGCTATTAAAATTGATATCTAATAATTAAAAATTAATATAATATGCATTAATTTTTATTTACTTAATTGAAATCTACAATTCATTATAAACATATATTTCTAAATATAATGCCAAATCATTATCATAACATTATGATTGAATTAATAATCCATTTGTGGATTGCTATTATTATGTGTATTACTAAATTAAAATATTTTCAATTATAATTTAACAAATTGATTGATTCAAACATCACAATCATATATTTAGTTTGTTTCCATAGATATTGTACACAATATGATGGCGAATATTCCTTATAATCAAAAACATTGAATTATTAAATACTGTTTTATTAAAAAAAGTTAACATTGAAATAACTACCTGTAAGTAAGCATCGTATTAATATATCATATGACTTATTAATACATACATTTTGGATTATACTACTATTATGTTAAAATAAGTCAAATGTACTTGTATATACTTATTTTTAATTGACAGAGTTAAAGTACAAATTTGTATTATTAATTAATTTAATAGTATCTCAAAGTGTAAAAACTGATTAATTGAACACTAAGTGATAATTAAAGAAAACTATTTTATATGTTTGCAAAAATGACCAAGACATGTTTGCTTTGTGGTCATCAATTGTTTGGTAACTTATAAATAAATGATGATTTGTGTTTTGTAATTATTTATTTATTAAATTACCAATTTTTAAAAATAATAAAATGTAATAATTTGTTTTAAATAGGTAACAATTTTGATTCTCTAATGTGTGAAACATGCAAATCGTTTTTTATGAGTAATGCATTCAATGAAAAGGTATTTATAAATTAATATAATAATATTCATTAAGAAATAATTAAAATATTTTATCAACTTTTATAAAATTATATATATTGTATATATATGTAAATTTATAATATAAATCAATCTAAAAATCTAGTGTTTTTTGGATAAGAACTGTCTTAAAGATATAAAAACACCAAAAATTAATCAAAAAATGTTATATATTTTGAGTAATTGTGTGGACACAGAAATAAAAAATTGATTATAAAAATTATATTATATAAAACTCTAATAATAACATCAAAATTTGTAATTTAGGATTGGATTCATTTAAATAGACTAAAATCTGATCAACAATTTAGAGAAGAGATTAACGAAAGAAAAAGAAAATACAGTAAAATAACAGATAAGAAGTCATTACCAAATTGGGACTATTGTGACACAAATTGCAACTTATTTAACATTTATGATACAATCAATAATATTGATATTATCAATGAAGTTAATACACAGATACAAAAAATTGATAACAGTATCGAAGTCAACGATATTATTGATATATCAGATGACATATCGGAAATGACTTACAAAAAAGTTGCCGAATTAGACAATACTCCCATACCTATAGCCCGACCTATAGTTAGTCAGCAGTTGATATTCAATGAACTCGAGGCCAACAAATTGTGTGAACTGTTTAGTGCCACAAACTTTTTCTCGGAATCGGAAAATCGGTTCACTTCGGGGACAACAAATTACAGTGATATGCATCGTATTATGTGCTCTAAGTTTGATCAACAGGTGCTTCAAATTGTAAGGATGTCCACAACGTTGACATCATTTAACGGTATTTGTGAAAATGATAAGATATGTCTCATTAAATACGGTTCACTCGAACTGTTTTGTATGCGTGCCGTTCCCTTCTATGATTATATTACCGATCATTGGACTTATGCTATGGTATATTCAAAATAAATGTACATTTTATTCAATTAACACTTTTTATTTATAATTATTTTAGGACAATAATAATGCATTAATACTAAGTCTTGAAGTAATGCATGAATTTCCGCACAATTTGTATGCATATTATAAACAGTTTTTAAACAAAATATGTAAAGAATGGGAATATGATTCTGTTATTTTAGATTTGGTTAGTTTTTCATTATAATTAGGTTTTAATTAATTATTATTTGTAAATTATATTTACTAAATATATTGTTTTTACATCAATAGTTGACAGCAATAGTGCTTTTCAATCCGGATCGACCTTATTTGCTATATAAAGATATTGTCAAGTAAGTCAATTTATTAATTGGTATTTTATAAAACTTTTTTTTAATATTTTATTTTTTAAATATAGATTACAACAACATATTTATATGCATCTATTACAACGATATTTATTTGTTAGATATAAATCAATTAATAAAATGAGAAATAAATTTTTAAAATTATTGAACGCTTTGATGGATTTGAATGTATTGGGAACGGCGTATAGCAAAATATGTATTGAAAATACTAACAAACATTTGGAGCTCATGGGTGTGATGTTTGACCAAAAAGATAATATTACAAATAAAAAAAATTTTAAATGTTAATTACTGGTAGATTTTTAAAATATATTAATAAAATTTCATGTTTATTTAAACAAAATTTGTGTACTAATAAAAAAGCCATTGAATTCATTGTTGGTTTACTATATGGAATAAGACTCTAATGGTCTAATAAATAAGTTTTATTAATATAATAATATTATTGCTAAAAATTATAACGGATTTGACAAATAACCTTAAAAACTCTCATCAATAATAAGTTTGTTATCATTTAATTGATTAAAAAAATATGTGATGTTTTGTAATTTATTATAATATACATAAATAATGATGGCAGCTAATATTAATAAAAAATATAGTATTGTACTTTCTTTAGAAAAAAATAAAATTACACATTACTTATAATTAAAAAAAATGTTTTATCAAAACAATGTTATATTTCAATTTGAATTTAGTATCGACAACACAGAATCCATTAGAGCATTTGCACTAAAACTCAAGGCTAACTGTGTATAAATTGAAATTATATATAAATATTAAAAATAAATTAACATTTGTTGTTATTTTTATGAAATTAATATATTTTATTTAGTCATTCAGTAGATAATGTATTAAAAACTTGAGAAATTTTTGTCATAAATATTTTATTTATTTTTTTCAATATATTTTATATTTAAGTTATTTAATTAAAAAGTATTATCAAATATTTATAATATAAACATAAGTTTTATATAATTATTTAATTCCATATTATTGTTTAATAATGTCTGAAAATAATGATTCACTAAAACAATGTTTGATTTGCGGTGACAAAGCTATTGGTAAGTCATTAGATATAATTTTATGCAATATTTTAATTTAATAATTATTAAAATTACAATTTAAATATTAATAGGCAATAATTTTAATGCTTTATCGTGTGAATCTTGTAAATCATTTTTCAGACGCAATGCACTTAAATTCAAAGTAAGTTATTTGTTTAGTTAACAAAATAGAAATTTTATTTAAAAACTTACAATTTTTTCTATTTTATTTGTCGTAAAAACTGGCAAACTTTTGGACATCAATTGATACATTAAAATTTTTTTACAATATCCTGAGATGACAACAATGTAATAGAGGTTAATATTATAGTCCTATTCATTAACTAAGTTATCATATTTAATGCTTACAATGACTGTAAGCATAGACTCTAAGCTGTAAATATGATAACTTAGTTAATGAATAGGACTATAATATTAACCTCTATTACATTGTTGTCGTCTCAGCAATTCGTAATATAATTTTACACACAAATCATTGCAAATTGTGTCTAATGTTAAAAAAATTGCCAGACTTTTTCTAAACAAAGTTTTTTAGATTAGATTAATACTAATTTTATATTAATATTTTTTTTATTGTAATTGTTTTTATAGCAATTAAAATGTCATTACAACCAAAAGTGTACAATCAATACATTTAACAGAAAGTTTTGTAAGAAATGCCGTCTCGAAAAATGTTTTACAGTGGGGATGAATAAAGTAGTTATACTATACTATAATATAATTTTTAATTATAAATTTACTTTTATTTATTGTATATTTAATTTTCTAGAAAAAAATTATCTCAAGTCATGAAAAGATGATAAAGAAATTTGAAAAATTAAAAAATGATAAACAAATTGATAACAGCAATAATGTTGAATTACATGACAATCAATTGGAAATTTCAAGTGATCAAGTAGATGCTATTGATAATTTATCAATAAACATAGACCATCAATATGTCGATTATTATGGTGCCCTGGATCAATTTGTTAATAATCAAAATAGTGACCAAATTTTCGATAACATATCAGATCTTGTTTTTCATGACACAGTAGAGCTTGAGTTTACAGTATCACCCATTGAAAGACCCGTTGCTGATCATAGATATACTTTTAATGAGTTAGAGGGCTATAAGATGACTGAGCTGTTTGGGTCAAGCCATCCATTTACTGAACCTAAAAGTCGCCAAATTAGACGCGCTATGAATTATGCCGACCTGTATATGGCAATGACATATAAGATAGACCAACAAATGTTAAGATTAATAAATATGTCGAAAAGTTTGTCCACATTTAATACAATTTGTGAAAACGATAAGATATGTCTCATCAAATACGGAGCACTCGAACTGTTCTGTTTACGTGCCGTTCCCTTCTATGATTGTCTTCTAAATCAGTGGACATATACTCTGGTTAGTTGTCGTATATAGAGTTCAAATTTATAAATTTAAATAATTTTATTTTATGAATATTTAGGACGAAGAGACGTCAGTTATTATAAGTTTAGAGTTAACTCGAAATTTTCCATTCAATCTCTACGAATGTTATAAAAACTTTTTGTATATTATTTGTGATGAATGGGAATCCGATTATACTTTACTTAATTTGGTAATATTTTTTTTAACAACTAATATCTCTAATTAATTATTATTTATCAGTTAACAGCCATAGTATTGTTTAATCCAAATCGACCCAAACTTATATATAATGAATTAGTTAAGTAAGTGATTTTTAAAATAATTTTGTCATTACAATATTATTTTTAATAAAATATAATTTTCACTCATTTTTTAATAGATTTCAACGACAACTTTACATGTTTTTACTGCAACGTTATCTATCAATGAGGTATCAATCGACTAATAAATCAAAAGATAAATTTTTGAAACTATTGGACGCTTTGTATAAATTATCAATTTTGGGTGAGGCCTACAATAATAAAGCAAAACAAACTGATCCGGACATTGTGTCACCACTCATGAGAGAAATTCTGGATTTAAAACCTATTGATAATAACAATGTGAACACAAATTATCTTGTATTTTAAAATTATTTATTTTTATAACAAAAGGATGAATAATAAAGTAATTATTGAAAACTTAAAATTGAGAATTAATGTCATGAACTAAACTAAGTATTAATTTGTAGTCAAAGCAATTATGATTATATAAACAGTTGATAATACTGTAGAAAGTTTTCATTTTTATAATAAATCTATAGTAAACCAGTAGAGATGCAAAGATAGCATTTCCAGAACGAATTTTGTCAAATTAATATATTTAATTGTTTAAAATAGATTTTTTTTTGTAAAAATATAAATTTTTAAAAACATATTAGTCTAAATAAATATAATGAAATTTTAAAAAAAATGAAGTAAAAAAACGATTTTAATAAAAAAAAATTTGAAAACTCATAATCGTAAGTAAACAATTATATCTATAAATTCACAAAAATTAGTTTACAATAATTGTATTTAAAGATATTTTTTGACAGTATTTTGTCAGATCACTTATCTTTGTACTTCAATGTTTGTTATGTTATAATTGGTGCAAATATATAAATGAATCATTAACTACTGTATAATATATAACTAACTTATTAATAAATATGAAAACTTGTTTTTAAATACTCCGGCAGTTTATCAAATTAAATGCACGCAAACTCCCGGTGCAAATATTGAATTTCACAGTCGGTATGAAATCTCTATATATTATATAAATATAAATTTGATAATTATATTTGAATATTAGTGTATTTAAGATAACCTGTTTGTAGTGTTTCGATAGTATGATTACAATTAGCAACAAATACTATAACAACGCCAGCAAACAATATTGATAGCAATAAAATAAGTGAAATTTATCGATAAAAATTAATGTTTTTAAAAATTTTTAATTAGTTAATACTCCGGTATTTATTTTGAATTAAAATAAATTGATATATATGTATATTGAAGTTGTATAATGTATGCACAATCATATTATATAAATATAAAATACAATAGTATATAATATATATACTTGTATATACGTAAAATACATCTATTTTTATAGTTAATATTATATACTGTATAACATTTTTTATATACAGTATTTGAACATAACTTATAACTTATAACCAAGGTCATCCATATATACAGGCCTTGGATGTACTTTAAACAGCAATTAATAGCTGTTTATATCATTGATATAAGTGTTGTCTTAGAGACCATCTGTGGTAGTGGTAGTCCAAAGCTATAGTAGTTATCATAATATTTGTTATTAAAATCTTCGAAATTCAAACGTTTTGTTTTTCACTTTCAATAAATTCATTATAAAAAAGTTAAAATTTTGTGACTATTAATTTGCGTAACAGTGATAACAATTTTATTGTAGATAATTATCAATAATAATAATCAATAACATAGACAAACATATTTGTAAAATGTCTGACCAAGAGTTTGTCAAAAAATGTTTGGTTTGTGGCGACAAAGCTATTGGTAAGCGATTTAAATGTCAATTAGTTTTCTATATTAAAATATAATATTTTTAAAGTGACAATTATTTCATATTTCATATTCAATATTTTCCAAATAAATTATAAAAATTAGATTTAAAATTAAAATTAAATTAAATGTAAATTGTATGAAATGTATGAAAATACATGAATAGGTAATAATTTTGATGCCCTGTCCTGTGAGTCTTGTAAAGCATTTTTCAGAAGAAATGCCATCAAAACTAAGGTAATGTTTAAACAATTAATTTATCTAATATTTGCTAATAAATTAAATATATATATATATATATAACAATTAGGAATTGAAATGTCATTTTGACGACAACTGTCACATCGATGTCCTCACCCGAAGATTTTGCAAGAAATGTCGTCTCAGAAAGTGCTTTGATATAGGAATGAAAAAAGTATTGTATAATTAAGTAAATAATTATATTTAAAAATATTATTTATTTTAATAATTTAATTATATTTTTAAACAAAGGATTGGATTCTTTCATCTGAAGAGAAAAAAGAAAGAAAGAAAAAAATTGAAACAAATAAAAAAAGACGAAAACACAGCATCAGTTCGGGGATCAACACTTCGGATTCATCGACCAGTTCTGTCACATCACCCGAAAGCGGATCTATTGTACCATTTAATGATGACTTTGACTTAAATCATATAAAAGCGTTGGAAATTCCGGACTCATTTGGTGACATTGAGTTAGGTATCGATGAAATCAATACACAGATTATGGAAATTGAAAATTATTTGAAAGATGACAACAATAGCGATGAGGAAAACTCGGACGAGATATCAGATCTGGTGTACCAAAAGGCCGCTGAACTTGAGTTTACTGTATTACCGATCGCCCGACCGTTTACTGACAGTCGGTATGCTTTTAATGAGTTGGAGGGAAACAAATTGGCCGAACTGTTTAATGCGACCACTTTTTTCATTGATCCCAAAGTACCCGTAACCTCACAGGCTATGACTCAACAGGATATGAATAAAATATTGTGCAATAAAGTTGAAGACTATATATTAAAAGTGATCAAAATGTCCAAAATGTTGTCATCATTTAATAATATTTGTGAAAATGACAAAATATCTCTAATAAAATTTGGAGCAATGGATTTAGTTTATATAAGACAAGTGTCAATATTTGATGCCGAAACCAAACAATGGAAATATGTTATGGTTTGTTAACTTTTATTATTTTATATATTAATTTATATAAATACTGTATATTATATACCGGTATACACTGTAATATTAATTTAATAATATTGACTACTTATGCTAATATTATTTTTATATATTTATTAAAAGGATAATCAAAACTCTGTCTTATTAAGCCTTGATATGATGAAAGAATTGCCTAAAAAAATATTTTCAAAATATAAAAGATTTTTCCTTAAAATTAGCAAAGAATGGGAAACAGATCCAGTGATTCTTGATTTGGTAATACATTTGATTTGATTTTTTTTAAATAAGTTTTTATCGATAAATTGATTTCTCGTAATTTTATTTTAATTATAGTTGACTGCAATAGTGCTATTTGATCCAAATAGACCTCGACTTCAAAATAAGGAATTAATTAAGTGAGTGATAAATAACTTAGAAATAACTATAATTTATGAAATGTTAATTAATGAAATATATTATATTTAATATAGACTTCAACAATACATTTATATGCATTTACTTCAACGATATTTACAATTAAGATACCAATCGGAAAGCGATTCAAAACTAAAATTTTTGAAACTATTGAACACATTAATTGATTTGAATGTTTTGGGACAAACAAAACGTGAAAACGTTAAGAAAAAGGATCCAAACATTATGTCTCCGCTAATGAAAGAGATTTTTGAAGTTAAATCACAATCTGATTACAATAGCGTACAAAATACTTATCTCGTCTTTTAACACATCAATTATATCATACACTACACACTAATTATTTTAATTTCATAATTTAATTAATTAATTAATTGAAATTAAATTATCAAATTATAGACTATGGTAAATTTATTCATAAATAAATTCATAAAATATTTTTATTATTATTCAATATAAATATTTTTATTTTGATTATTATCATGTTCACTATACTATATAAAATACATAGTTTTAATTTGAATTGTATATTTAAAAAAATTTAATAAAAATTATAAGTATAAGATATTGTAATGAGTAGATTTTATCATTACTGTTATAACTATAATATATCCTATTTCTATACCGTTTCAATATTATTTTAATAGCATTGCCATTTATATCTGGAAAGTGTTGATTATTTAGATGTTTCATGAGAATTTTTGGGGTGAGTTACTCGCTTCACTTTCCATGCAATGATTTCACGTAAACCACTGGAATGGCCGCCACTATTGGCACAGTACTCCTGTAGTGGTTTAGGTTGTCTTAATTGTACATTGGGCACAATATTAGCTTTTACTACACAATTATTAATACAATCTATGTCTGATTGATCGTAAATTAAGACATTACTACTTTGCGGACCAATTATATAAAAGGTATTATCTCTGGTCCTGAGATTATTTAATTCAATTTGACCTTTACTATCAAACGAAACACTATTCAATGTTAAGACAGACTCATTGTTTTGAGAGTTAAGACTCGAAGTCTGTACCACACTGTAACAACAATAAACTATTAGGTGTCCAAATATTTATTTATACCGGGTYAGTCAATCCCGAAGGTGACTATAGACTCATAAAGTTAAGGCAAACCTTAACTATACTCTCGGATCACTATTGAGGAGCGTATGTTAACGGTCTTAAACTCAGTGTCCGTTATCGGCTATTAACACACAATCACGCGATCGGGAGACCGGAACCCTCTTGGGACCATTGGCCTGCCTAGTCAGTCAGTATCAAATAGTAACTATGCATTTCCCAACTAGGTTAGCGAAAGCACATATGTACTCGAGAAATCCACTGCTATGCATTCACACACACATTCACTCAAACAGCCGATAATTACAACAATCAACAAAACTAGTGCTATTGTCACGTAGACAGCAACTAGTGGATCACCTAGTAAATTGTATTTTAAGGTCAGACTATTAGTGTTAAATAACACTGAGAACCGACAAAACTACAACTGTTTCACTAAAACGTAGGACTATTGCCGAAAAATCGGGCAGAGCCTTCGGCGGCCTGGTACAATCTCGGGGATGTCGGAGACTTCCATATGACACATATAGTAGTCTTTACCAACAATAACTAAGTATAGGTCAAAGGAGGTAAGGGAGGAGGACAACATAGCCGTACAGATCTCTCGACACGACAGATCCGCTAGCATACTATCAAAGGGAAGGGTATAACGGCATGACCGTACGAATCCCCGACACGGCGGATCCGACGGCCAACCATCATAGGGTATGGTTAAGGAAGGTTTACATAACTGGACCGGAACCCCCGACACGGCGGTTCCGTCCATTAGCTATATACGCGGGAAGGCTTGACAACATAACCGACCAGATCCCCCGACACGGCGGATCCGATGGCCAGTCATCTCACCTTAATGTAGATAAGAAGGGACCTTTACGATACTGGAGCTCCCGACGCGGGAACCCACGGATTTAGGTCGCTTAGAAAAGGGTAGAAGACAATAAAATTAAACACTTACATTAGAAATCCAAAAGGCTTTATTTTAAAATGACATCAATACGAGGTATACATCCAAGTATACGGACCATATCAGAGAAGGGGGTCGAACCAGAAGGGGAGAGAACTGATCTGCTAACGGCTCTTAGCAGTACTAGTCTTATGCCTGTGACTACCAGTATCTCAATGATAAAATCATTGAGAATACTTGGGGTTTTATAGTCTCGGTCGCATCAATATAAATTTTCAAGGGTGTATGGGAATATTTTAGTGATGCGTTGGTGCCAGAAATCACTACAATATTATACTATTTATACTATGTTATGTAATGATTGATGTCTAAAATTGGTAATTCTGGCACTGAGTAGGGAAAATTTTATATAGATTTATATTACAGTACGGGAAAGAAATTTGGATTTTTGGCACTATGTATGTAGATGTTATATGCAGTATATTATGTATTAATTTTAGGGTGCATCTAAAAAATTTATTTGTTAGTATGTTTTGATATAAGTATATATATATATATATATATATGTGTGTGTGTGTATTGTATTATAAATCTATTGTATGTCAATATTTTCTATAACAATATTATTTGTCTTATTATAAATTAATATCTTCAAATAACTATATACTGTACAACATTTATCTTGAGTAGTTATTAAAATACAATTTTCTGATTTTTTATTCACTAAAAACTTAAGAAAATTATTGGATATATTTTTAATCAAATTATTATAATTTTACTTATAACTTAATAATTATTATATTCAACGTTAACTTCAAAAGTTTATTACTAGAAACTATTTGTATGTCTAATTAGATGAGTGGATGAGTAATATAAACAGTTGAAACAAATCAATTAGATATACAGTATTTATTATATTTTTAGTGTTATTGATAAGTAATCGTCAAATACAATACAATGTCACAAATTATAATTTATTTTTTATTTAATTATACACGTATTCTTTGTATTTTTCATTTATCTATAAAAACTATTGATATATAATATAATACAAATAAATAATTTTAGTTTTTTTTAATAATAGAATATAACTTGAATATTATACACGAAGTAAATTATGATAAGATGTATACAATTTTATTAATCTATTATACAGTAATTTTAATATTAAAACAAATTACATAATATAATTAATATTCATTTAAACAATACTACTGCTATGAATTTACTATACATTTTCCGGTATAATATAATTTTTTTAAAGTTTTCATTTTGTTATTATACTGTTAATAAGTAGTTTTTAGTTTATAAATATGAGTATAAATAATATTTGTGGCATTTGTGGTGACAAATCAAATGGTAATAATTTATATAAATTTATAAAAATATTAATTATAAATTTGATTTTTAGGTCATTATAATTTCAATGCAATTACTTGTAATCCTTGTAAAGCATTTTTCAGGAGGAATGCCATTAAATTAAATGTGATTATAATTTAATATTTTTTGTTGATTTTGTTTAATTATGTATAAGAATTAAATAAATTTTGGTTTATAAACAGCAATTGAAGTGCTATTTTAATAATAAATGTCAAATTACTTGTTTTACAAGAAAGATGTGTAAAAAGTGTCGATTAAGCAAATGTTATGAAATAGGAATGAAAAAAGTATATCAATATTAATATGATTTTATTTTTTATACAATTTTTATATAATTAAATTTTAATATTTATAAGGAATTAATATTAACTGAAAATGAAAAGAAATTGAGAACTTATAGCAATGAAGTTAACAAACAAATAAAAAAACATAAAATTAAGAAATTTGTAGAAAAATCATTGAGTGATTCAATGAATAATTTTTCTGCAATTATGACTTATAATGTTATGGATAACAATAATCAATCATTTTTATCGATTACGGCACCCATTGTTGACTATAATAATAATTTTAATGAATTAGAAGGCAATAAAATTACCGAATTATTAAATGCATTCAATTTAATGAAATCATTCGTAAACAGTGACAACTCGTATATAATTAAAGAGCCCATTATTGGTGAGGCCTGTAAGGCATGGGCTCATACCTGTCAACAGGAAATCTTAAAATTTATCAAATCTTTCAAATGCTTGATTGCATTTAATGGCATTTGTGATAATGATAGGATTGCATTAATCAAATATGGATCCATTGAAATATATATTATGAGACTTGTCTTAAGTTTTAATTTTACAAACAATTATTGGCTATTAATAAATGTATATAAATTTTTGCATAAATCTAATTAAATATAATTAATAAAAATTTTTTAAATTCAGGAAAATGGATATTATGTTAGATTATCTATGGATTTGCTGAGAGAGTATAGAGACCACCTGTTTGACGCTCACCACTGTTTTCTTAGACATTTGGGTGCGGATTGGGATTCTGACCCTATTATCATAGATTTGGTATAGTTTTCAGTCTTTTGTATTATTTGTTTTCAATGATCCCTACAATTATAATAATAGATGACTGTTATCATACTATTTAATGAAAACCGACCCTTTCTTATTGATAAAAAGCGCATTCAGTGAGTATAACTTTTTTAAATAATGTTTAATATACTAAATAATTTTGTTTTTACTCATTGAATCAATTTATTTAGAAATGTTCAACAAATCTACAAGTATTTACTTCAGCGTTATTTGCAATTAAGATATCGGTGTTCATCGGTGGCAAAGTCAAGATTTGTTGAACTAATGAATTCGTTATCATATCTGGCAAATGCCAAACGGGTCCATCAATTAAGTTACTGGAAAAAGGATCCAAAACAAGTACAACCATTGCTGAGGGAGGTGTTTGAAGTCAACCAAACTATTTATAATTACAATAACACTGATAATAACACAAACTTTACACTCAATACTTTAAGCATTTAATTATTATATTAAGTTTTATTAGTAATTATTACCGCAATGATAATAATATTATTAATATATTCTAAAATTAAACATAATCTTTATTATAAAAAATTATTTATATTAATTATTTTAATGTTTTTAATATTGACATTTTTAATAAATATTTATTTATTAATTGCTTTATCTTAGGATAGAAAAATAGTCTGATGTTGTTATTAAGTCAAATACAATAAGAATATTATAGATAAAATTTAAATAAAATCAATAAAAAATTAAATAACTATTACATAAAGTCTGTTATTGCTTAACAAATAATTTTAGTTATCTGCAAACCTTCAAATTAAATATTTGATATCAGTATTATTGAAGACATATTGTATAAAAAGTGATAGCTGTATACGGTATATACAATACAATACTGTTTGCAATACAATACAATACAAATTGTTTGATATTTTAACTTGAATATTTTATCTACTTTAATGTGACTCAAAACCATTGTATTTGTATTATTATTAAGTACTATAATATTGTAAAGTACAGTATATCTAAAATATATGCCTGTATTGAACTATACTGTACTGTACTGTACATTGACACTTGTCTGTTAATTACACTTAATGGCAAATTTAATAATTAATTACAAAATTATTCAATAATTAATAAATTGTAAAACAATGCCCCGGAAAAAAGTAATCATAACCGAAATGTGTGGCGTATGYGGTGCTAAAGCCATTGGTTTGTATTAAATAAATTATTATTTATATTAATAAATAGTCAAAAATGATTAATAATGATAAATATTAGGTAAGAATTTTGGCGCATATACTTGTCTATCATGTAAAGTATTTTTTAGACGTTATACAAACAAATTAAAGGTATTTATTAAATTAGTAAAATATTTCAATTTTAATTATGTTATATAAATTTTCAGGAATTTAAATGTTATTTTAAAGACAATTGTCTAATAAACTCAAAAACGAGAAAATTTTGTCAAAAATGTCGTTTAAATAAATGTAGTGAAATTGGAATGAAAAAAGTACGATGATCAATTAAACATAAATTTATATTGATTATTAATGTTGCTATAAATTATATCATCATATTATAGAAATATCGTTCAAATAATAAAAATTTACAATTAATTAATTCAAATAATGATGAAAAACAAGAAGAATTTGGTCAAAATAACAACAATTTTGAGATAAATGTGACAAATGAAAGCTCAAAAAATATTAATTCATTACATAATTATGAAATTAGTAGATATTTGCCAAAGATTATGGATGACACAGAAATGATAATTATGCCAATAATACGACCCATTACTGATCATCAAAATTTTAATGACATAGAGGGTCGTCGGTTTATGGAACTTATGGGTGCCGTCCATATCATGAAAAGACCGAAAAATCATGTGATCCGAGAAATTCAGTGTCGATGGGATGCCAAACAAGTTTCATATGAACTATTGGACCGACAGATAAGGGATTTTACTAATTTCACACTTAATTTATCGGAATTTAACAAAATTTGTGAAAACGACAAAATATCTCTCGTTAAGTACGGATGCATTGAAATCATAAACATGCGGTCAGTCCTCTTCTATGACTTCGACAATCAATTCTTTAACATTTGGATTGTAAGTCCAAACATATTGTGTATAATTTATATAATAGTCTGTATATTATATATTTTTCAATTATTTTATTAATAATAGAATGATAAGACATCAGTTCGGCTTAATTTAAATACAATCAAATCTGGCCATCAAAATGAACGGGACATTCACGATATCTTTCTTGATTTAATGTCAACAAATTGGGAAAATGATTCATATATTATAGATCTCGTAATTATCATATCTGTATTTTTTAAAAATTAATTTCATATTTATAAAATATTTTTTTGCAATATAATCATTTTATTAACAGTTAACAGGAATAGCATTGTTTAATCCAAATCGTCCAAAACTATGTCATATAAGTACTATAAAGTAAAAATATAACAAAACTATATTAACAACTTAACAACTTAACAAAATAAGTAAAATAAAAAATTGATAATTTTTTTAACAGATTAACCAGATATATCTACATGTGTTTACTTTATCGATATTTAATAGTAAAATATCGGTCAGAAATTGCCGCTCAAAATAAATTTGTGCGACTCATGAAACTGTTGCGAACAAATCAAGAGTTAGGTGATCGGCACCGGACTATCAGATCACATGAAAATCCTCAGTTAACCACACCTTTAGTTTGTGAAGTGTTTGATATACCCGTCAAAACAGATGTCTGTCCTTTAACTCAACAAAATCAATATCCATTGCATAAAATGATTTCTCGTTAAAACTTTGTATTGTATTTTTATTGCTATACTGCCATATGAAACCTATTAACTAACCAAGGCTTTAATATTTCAAATATATTTGTAAAAAATCAACACAAAAAATAATGTTAGATAATATTTATATTATATTTATAATAATTTTATATTGTAATAAAAATTGTAGATAAAATAAATTTCCAGTTAAATGGCGTTAGTTTTTTTTTTTTTTTTTGATAAACTTGTAAAATAGTGATAATTTTGTAAATACTTACAATACATTACAAATTATAACAATTTAATAATATAAATATTTCAAAATTATATGATTATAACAAATTTATAATTTAGTAAATTATAATTATTGATTGTAATAATTATTTTAATTATATTAATTTTTATGTAATATATATACGTATAAATTTATATGATATTACAAATATTTGTGACACAATTTATTTGTTACTACAGTTTCTGTAATCAAAATACATATTATAAGTTATTATTATATTTACTAATATTTATTAAGACATTTTTAAAAACGTAATCTTAATTTTAATAATAAAATGGTCTCTAAAATTTGTCAAATATGTGGTGATAAAGCAAATGGTATAAATTTTTAATTATTTTTTAAATCTTTAAATAATATAAAAATTAGTTATTTATTTTTAGGCAAAAATTTTGGAGTTATTTCATGTGAATCGTGTAAAGTATTTTTTCGGCGCTATGGCGACAAAAATAAGGTTTATTAATATCATTATTAAACTTAATTTATAGAAACTTATTAAATAATTATACTTAATTTTTTAATATTAAAATTTAAGATATAATATAAAGCAATTGATAAATATATTATATACCATAATGTATCAATATCGATTAAATTTAATTATTTAATTCATTATTATGAGAAGTATTAATATACTGCACATTTAAAAATAATACATATAAATAAATAAAATTTATTTTTACTTTAAAAATATATGATATGAGAGATTAGCAAATCTACTATACATTCTTATAAAACATAATTTAAACATATTTTATAAACTTGTATATTAATAAAATTATATTTTTAATTATTCAAATATATTAGATATAGAGATAAATTCTGTTATTACTGCATTTGTTAATAAAAAATTTATGTGACTTAAAAAATATAAATTGTTACAGTACTGTATAAAGCATAAATTTAAAAAGATTAAATTTATATTTTTAATATTAGAATTTTCGATGTAATCTACAAGAAAAATGTATCATAAATGTTATTACAAGAAAATTTTGTCAAAAATGTCGACTAAAAAAATGTTTGGACATTGGGATGAAAAAGGTCTGCAATTTGAGTATTTTATAGATTTTCTAATTATTTTTTATATTGCAATTATAATTAAAAACAATCTAACAATTTAATATACTGTATATTACCTTTAAAAATATTATTCTTTATTTTCTAGAAAAATAAGCAAAAAGATAAAACAAAACATAAATATAAATGCAATATTGGATCTACTAATGAACAAACAACTATACAAAATAAGTTATTTTGTAGTAATAGTCATACAATAAATTGTGATAATTTTGATGACAACAAAATTAATAGTATTTCTGAAATTCAATTGAATGATCGAGACTTAAACATATTTCAATCAATTAGTTATAATACACAATATTTTAATGAATTAGAAGGCAATAGATTTTGTGAATTAATAAATGCAATGAAATTATTAAATAAACCGATAAATAAATATGTGATTGAAATTGATTGTATTAGTGAAGCACAACGTGTGATGCGTTATGTTTTGGACAGAGATATCAAACAATTAACTACATGTGCTATGAATTTAACGGCATTTTATTATATGTGTGAATCGGACAGAATATCATTGGTTAAGTATAGTTGTATTGAAATAATTTATATGCGATCAATAATCAACTTTAATTTTGAACATAAATTTTGGACAATATATCTGGTAATTATATTATTTCTGTTTGGTATTTACTTTTTAAGCATTTTTTGTTGTATTATTTCAATTATTTAACTAATTTAAAATATAATGAATTTTATAAAAAACTATTTTTCTATGTTTAAAAAACTATTAGGATAATAGCAGTTCATACAAATTACATTTGGATACAATCAAATCTGGACAATTAAATATATATAATGCACATAAAAAATATTTGCAAAATATAGCTAATCACTGGTATAACGATTGTTATATTATTGATTTGGTATGTTAGTTGCAAACTATATTTTTGTTTTGTTATATATATATATTTATAAAACATATTATATTAATATTTTACCCATTTGTTACAGTTAACTCCTATATTGTTATTTCATAATAATCGTCCAAATATTCAACACAATGATGCAATTCAGTGAGTTTTTTGTAATAACATAATAAATATCGATATTTCTAATACAATTTAATTAATTTTAGTTTTCATCAAATTGCTTATAAATTTTTATTGTTACGCTATTTAAAAATCAAATATGGAGCACATGTAGCTGAATCAATGTACAAAAAATTGGTTAAAGTGCTCAGATATGTGCATAACTTGGCTCACATACAGATGAAAATAGCGGCTCAAAGAAGTAATTGCAAATCGACACCACTGTTGAGAGAAATATTTGATATGAATAACAATTTCAATAACTAATAATAATTTTATTTGTTTATCAAAATTATAATAATAATTATTATTTTCATATGACTAGAAATTATCAATAATTAAAATATTTATGATATACAATATAATAATTATAATTATAAATGACTTTATAAAAAAAATATATTATAAAAAATATATAAATAAATTGTTTGTAATATATTTTAAATATATTTATTTAGAGATCAAATGAAATCTAAAAAATTATATAAAAATATGATTCAATTGGTCAACAAATTCAATACATTTCTCTATCCGATAAATCCTTTCATTTTCTTAAATCATTGCAATATATAATGAAACATAAAATATGTTTAAATGACTCGATATGTAATTGTAATAATGATATGATAGTTATAATGTTGAGTTAAAAGGCCAGTTCTGCACCCCAGGGCCTGTAGTGTCTGATGGATGGGTTGTGTTGAGACATAAGTCCACTATTGTTTGATGTCGAGGCACTCATGTAAGCACTAGAAAAGTATGGATTGTGTAGATTGTGAGTGTTTGACGAGTTCATGGGTGCCATCGATGAGGCACTAGTAGTCGGATGGTATCCGATTGGCATCGATGAAGATATGGGAGGTGGAGATACACATGTTTTGTGAACTGTCGACGAGTGTGACATCATCTGTTGTCCACTCATTGATGGGTCAGTCAATGGCTGATGAAAGTGTGTGCCATTGGGTGCGTACTGACCCGAGACGGCGGTCGTGCCGTGCAATGGCATCGATTCACTTGATAATGAACTCAATGATGACATACCAGAACTATGAACTGATGGTAACGATGGATAAGTAGGAGTCGTGAAAGCACTGGGATTCCAACCACTGGTCGAAGCACTGGACTTTAATGACAGTTCCCTTTGAGCCGAATAGCACTGCAAATGACTCATTAGTCTTAGTCGGAGAGGATCCTGAAGATCAAGTCCTTCGGCAGCCACTAAATAACGGGATACCTCTGCAGTACACTCACGGAAACCAATGCTGTGGTAATCAGTTGCAAACTTTTGTGGATCAAATGAGAAAGTGTCGAAACCTTAATTAAAATAATAGGAAATCATATATTAGGATATATTTGTTATGTTGTATTTAAAAAATAGTGTTGTGTGGGTGGGTGGGTGTGTGTGTGTCGAATGCACTTAAAATACTTTATATGAATTAATAAATTGTTTTTTTTGCTATTAATCGCAGACGACATGCAATTAGCGTTAATATAAGTCGCGTGTTTAGAGAGTATATGATTGCAATTTCCTAGTTTTTGAGAGCTATCCCTTTCCCACGACACAGACATTACCGGAGACAGTGTTGTGTATATAATTACAACATAAGTCATACACAACACAACATATAACATACACAATACAGTACTATTAATACACAGAAATACACAATATATACATATTAATATATTATACTGTATATGATATGATATAATTTAGTGTATATAAACTTTTTAAAAGCATTAAATGACATCTCATTGTATTGTTTGCCACAATTTCGGCTCTCAAATATACTGCTCTCTCATTACTATATTATAACTATTATTGTTATTATTGCTGTATTATTATAAAAACTATTGAGTCGTTTACCAGTGTATAGAAAGAGAGAGAGAGAGAGAGAATTTGTTATATTATTAGAGACTCTGAGAAAGGCATTTGATTTGGAGTATGACTCCCACTGAACACTGAGAGCGTGAGAAACAGGGAAAGTATGCGCTGAGAGAGATAAAGGGAGAGAGAGAGAGCACGGGCTCATTACCCCCATTCCGATTCGGGCCCTCTCTCTCTCTCATTCACTCTCACCACACTCTCACTAACTCATACTGCTCTCAGTGTTCATACAATTGAGAAAAATGCACAAAATTTTTATAAAAACGATAGAAAATTATATTCAAATTTTAAAAAATAGTAAATAATTCAAAACAATAATATCAGAGCAAGTTTTTTTGGTTGAAAAATATTTTACAAATAAAAAATTACATTTTTTTGGATGCAATGATTGCATTTGAGATTATCGACATAAAAGTATTATCAAAATTGGAGAAATGCTATTTCTTCACGCCATCTGAACATATAATAGACTCAAATTATATATAAATACAAGTATACTATACTTTTTGAAATACTAAAAATATCAAATTATATGACATAATAAATGCAAAACTTTATGTGAAAACTTTGTTTGAGATAAACTTATGTAATAGTAATTGAATAGTAGAAAAAATTGAAACAAAACATGCAATCAATTATTAATTTGAATGAATGCCTACCTTTGGAGTGAAGTGTCCTCAAGTGGTCGACAGTCATCTGCAAGATCTCTGCCTTTTCTAGTTTAGTTGATCCCTGTTTTTCAAAGGCCGCCGGAACCAAACGTCTTAACTCAAGCAACGAATTGTTTATGCGATCTCTTCGGCGTTTTTCAATCATCTGATGGATTCAAATAAAATAATACAAAAAATTAGATTTAGATGTAATTTGTGGTTTAATGGCAATAATGTGTTAACTGATTGATACATACACCGCGTCTTTTCTTCCTGTTCTGCATATGACAGGCCGGTGGTGTTGACATCACCTCATCTGTTGCTGAGGTCGTACTGCTGGCGTGTGTCCGGCCGTCACCCAAGTGTATCATCTCTTGAAGCCAACGATATGAAGCAATTGTGATAAACTTTGCAAAACTTTTTATTTTGTTGAACACACAAAACTTTTGCACTTCAATTGCAAACTTAAGCTTTCGATAAAGCTTTCAAATTAATGAAAGATTTAATTAATAAAAAACTAATTGAAGACAATCATTGACTTTGAAAACACTGTTATATTTCATATATATCTTAGAAAGTAGTATTCAATTAACAGATCTAAACATCCGCTGACGTCTGTCCACCCGAATGTCTGACACACGTATGAAAACGTGTCGATTGTAGGCTCGCTTGTGATGAACGGTATGTTGTGCACGAGCCCAGTCAGCCCAGTCAGCCCAGTCCACACTCTAATACTATACATACTGTACATAATATCTGTGCGGATGTACTGTCACCTGATGTCGAGTTTCTGTAAACCCATTGCATTCCAGTCTCTTATTGGTTGTCTGTAGTGCTGTTGAGCCCAGATTTGAAGCCCTCCTCTGCCCTCACATATCCCTCACATATACATACAAACACTCTCTGACTGTCTCACAGCACACATAACAGCGTAACCGCATAGATATTAGTGCTGAGAGAGCTTACGACTGAGTAAATTGTGGACCTGGAGGTCGTGGGAAAGCCTGAGACAAATATTTCTCACGACTGGGATGTGCTCAAGAAGTAGTACACGTGTTGTCATTCGTGTGGCTCTTAGTGAACACAACACAACTGATCCATCGGTGTACCTGTTATTCACTCTTTAGACTGCCTCCCAGTCCCTCACTATTTGACTTTTCTCTTATTTTTTCGCTTTTGACAAACATTTCACTGAAAACTAAAACTATTATTTATTTTTTTTATTTCTTATGTCTTTTTTTCATAAACTTCTTATGCAATGAAGTGCCGACAAAGTTGTGATCAAAAGATTTACTTAAAACAAATAAAATAGGATTTAATCCAAAAAGATAGGATCAACTGTTATCATATGTATTATCATTTAATAAATTATTAGATTTCATGGCTTTGGCTTTAATTTAATTAATATTTTGTTGATTACAATCTTGTTTGCAAATATTTTCTAACGTAATATTTATTTAAAACTAATGAAAATTGAAAAAATTATATTCAGAGATTCATTTTTTAAAAAGCATTTACCTTTAATTTTATTTTGACTTAAATGCATTGAAATTGAAAATAAAAAATACACTAATACTGTATATACTGTACAATATAATGATAATAAATATATTGCATTCGGAGCTAATCAATGGTTTTTCTGTTAAAATATTAAGCAATTGATCTCTAATTTCAAGTCCGGAATCACTTTATTTAATAAGTGATGTCCCGTGAGTTTGCAAACTATGTTAGGTTACAATTAAATTTGAATTGTCATCCATTGATTGCACTGATAGATGACAACCAAAAGATAAATCAGTTATTCGGGATTTAATCAAATCAATTATTAATCGCAAACAATCAAAATCTTTACATTACTGATCCCAATTCAACAGACCTATAATGCGTGGGTTTTTTGTATTGGTGGCAGCAATTGCTTTGGTCGGTGTGTGTGTGTGTGTGTGTTTGTGTGTGTGTATGTGTGTGGGAGAGCACTCGTACCATATCGACATCACATCTCAGGCTTATTGAGTTACACAACTAATACTATACTACGAGAGAACCGGTGTTATTAGGTCTGTGCTCTCGTGGGAAAAGCTTTACTAAACATAAAGCCAATAGAATAGTCAATAAGTGGTGTTTTATTATATAAATAAGTGCTCAAAATAACTGTAAATAACTAGTCGGTGAGCACCAGATTTTTTAGGTGGAAGAGTCAGTAAGTGACTGATCACACAGTGACCTAACAGTGCTAAACATATCATTTCAATTGTGTACTAACTGTGCATCACTTGTAACTCAAGCGAGAAGAACACAGAAACTATTCATAACTAAAATGTCACTATTTTTTGTAATCAATAAGCAATACATCTTTGCTTTTGACATCACTTTTTGAAAACAATTTGTTTAAAATTTTATCTAATTTTAAAATTCAATTATGTAATCAATTTGATTATAGTTTGAAACCACATATAACAAAGTATCGCTTATATTAATCATAAATCATGCGTTACTTACAACACAATCGACTTTTGAGATTGAGATTCACGACTACAGCTAAACAGGTGTCTCAAAGAGTTATTATATTTCAGAAAATAGCCGTATATTATAAATGCAATTTACTTTGATATTTCATATTTTTATCAAATTATTGTTATATTTATATAATAACAGTTAATAATTAATAATAACTTAATACAAATGGATTTTATAACTAAATAGTTTTGCAGAATAAAATATGTTTATTTTAGCAAAATTTAGTATAACTTAAAATAAGCTAATATTATAAATGTATATAAACTAATAATTTTAAAATAAATGTTAGCATAAAATATTTTGTCAATTTATTTTGATTACATTTGTGGGCAAAATGTGGAAAAATAAATTTGAATTGACTCCAAATGTCAGTGAAAGTGATTTTTGTAGTCACAAATCAAATCAAATTTCGTGAAAATTGGACTTAATTTTAGTTTTGGGACACATTTGGCTTGAATTGAAATTTGTGTGTTTGAGGTAAACAACAGACAAAATATATGGAAAATTTGTTGCATTTTTGGGACAAAAGTCAGAAAATTTCAATGAAAGAGAAGTTCAAGTGATGGGTCATTACATACGGTGTCGACCCTCTCATTAGGCATACAATGCGTTACGAGTCTCTATCGACTCGTTTTCATTGCAGACTCTGTTTGCTTATTACCAAACCAAATGACCGCTATATCTCAATATATTTGTTAACATTTTTATTTATGCATACAATTTAGTATTATCATCAATATTAACAAATGTTATGTTTGTTTGATTATATTCTAAATTATAATATCTAAATGTTTAAAACTAACTTTAAAACATTTACTTATTATATTATACAATATACCGGTAGTTTATAATATAGACTATATGTTATGAATTTTGGTTATTTTGAAGAAGATATATAGTTATATACAGTTAGAGTTTAGGCAATGGAGGGAAGTTCTCAAATAAATTCACTCCAATTTTTTCGGAAAAAAATATTTTATATTACAATATAAAGGACCAATACTTAAATATTTTGCATAAAATTTTATTGAAATATTTAAAAATTAATATAAATTAAAAAAAATAATAGTACTTTCTGACAATGTAAATTAATATACAATTTAATATAACATGTGTTTTCAAACATTGTAATTAAATGTGTCAGTTAAGGTTCAATAGTTAATGCACATGAAAATAAATTCCCAGAAAACAGGGAATATATGCAACTTTTTGAAAATAAAACAAAGGAGAGAATTAGCCCCAACTCTATATACAATATATATCCATAGTTTTAATAAAAAATAAACTTTAACATCAAGAGTGCCTATCGTTATATTTATATACTGTAGTATTATTGCAAATCACGAATTAATGCATAACTATTATACTGTACTAATATATTGCATATTAATTACTATACATCAATGATTAAGTGTAATATAAGAAATAATAGTTACGACAAAAAAGTGATAAAAACATAAATTATAGACAATTTAATGTCTAAGCATTGTTTAACATTAAAAATATATATTATGACAATTTATAATTTGAATAATAAAAATTTGCAAAAATTTTGAGTAAAATTCTACTAATATTCTATTAGTTCATTAATTTTTACTAAATTATTAAATAAAAATAATACAATTTTATTTTGTTGCAGTGTTTCAATAAGTTTATACAAGTGTATTAATTGAATTACATTCTACGATATAATCCTTCAATATTTTACAATACAATACAATACAATATATAAATTTATATAAGTTTTTAATACTTTATGAATAGTTATTTTATGTGGAAATGTTTTCATATAATATATAAGACTTTTATTATAAGTAGTTATGGATTATATTTGAAAGATTTTAAAGACATTATTATAGACTATCGTAAAAATATCTAATAATAGATAATAATAGAGTATTGCTGTCATATTTATAGATAATCTATTGATATATTATGAAAGACTGAATGTCAACATTTCTTAATGAAACATATTTGCTTAGTTGTAGTGATTTTTGTACAACAAATTGACCATGCTTATATTGCTTATATTATAATATACAATAATATTGCTTTTATTCGACAGTCATAAATTGCAACATTTATTTTATCTACCTGTGCAATATACAGGTAGTATAGCATATATCTATTTTTCAACAGTTATAAACTTCTAAGCCATCTACCGATAATAGATATAGTATATATAAATTAGTTTTTAAAATATAAATATACTTATAGTAATATTTTAAACAGATTTATAAAATGTAATTTTAATATAATAAATTATTTAAATTATTATTTAGAATAATATAAATAATTAATAATAAAAAATAATCGTAAATTAATGATCAATAGTTAAATCCATATAATAATACAATAAATTAGGTAATACTGTATACTATACAGTAGAGGGGGGAACCGAAGAGTTTTTTAGGAACCGCAACCGAACCGTATCTCAAAGTCAAGAACCGAACCGAAACCGAAAAATCTGAAAATCCTAAACCGCAACCGAACGGTTACTAAAAATCAGGAACCGAATGAAACCGGAACCGAACCGTAATCTTACATAAATAACGTTAATAATATTAAGGGGGTAAAAAGTGGGCTTAAAATTTAAAAAATTGATTTTTATATTTTTATTTTTTGTTATAAAATACAGTTATAATTAAATTAGTATAAGTTATAGTTATTATATTTATTATAATATATAAAATTATAAATATAATTTTATAACTAAATTAATAATTAATTAAAATAGAAAAATTTTAGTTAATAAATAATTAAAAGTAATAATAATTAAAATTAATAAATAATAATTTTTTTAAATGCAATTATAATATTAATATAAAGTAATAATAGTTAAATAAAAATATTTAATAATATTAACAACAGTATTTCTAAAGATAATTTTATTTGTGCTATTAATTTAAACTCAAATCGGTTTTTAATTAAAACCGTTTTAAATCTAAAACCGTTTTTAAAACCGAAACCGTTTCTAAAACCGAAACCGTTTTAAAACCGAAAGCTAAAAACAAGAACCGCAACCAAACCGGACCTGAAAAACAGGAACCGAACCGAAACACAAAAACCAAAACCGTGATAAAACCGTTTCGGTTCCGGTTTCATTCGGTTTTATGAAACCGAACCGTTTCGGTTCCTCCCTCTACTATACAGTGTATAGTATTTATTAATATTAACACTAATACTAGAGAACGGTATATACAATAAATTATTTTCGAAATTTCAAACATTAAAATATATTTGTAAAAAAGTTTTCAAATTTGTATAAAACATAAATATTTGACTACTGGTATATATAAAAACTAAAATACTTGAAATCTTACACTTTGTTTATAACAATTTATTTGCTTAAACATAATTACCGGTAATTTTGTCAATTGAATTAATAAAAACAGTTATTAAAAACTTGAAATATTATGTTAATTATATTATATTTATTAATTACATTATCGATACATATAAATGATAATATAGAGTATCTTATATAAAAATCAGTATACCATAAAAAGTCAAGTTATAAAGTACGCTACAACCATAAGCATCACTAATGCAACTTGGTTAATTGTTAAATTAACATAAAATACATATAATTTTTAAATAATGATTTATAATGTATTACCAATAATAATAATATACTGATAATGAATATATATATAATAATAATCTAAACACTAAAGCATTAAATATGTTTAGTCTTTTGGTTGAAATATATAATTTCAATCATTATATCATCAAATTATAAAATAGTTATAAATATCGGCAGCTGTTTACCGATAAATTAATTTAATTATTGATAAAATTATTGTTTAACTGTACATTGAATTAAAAAATAATCAAGGGCAAAATTATAGATAATAATAATGTAATTACGATAATCACTTTAATGGTATCGTATATTTAAAAGACAATTGTATTTAAATATATATTTTTAATATTTTTTACTGTCGTCTCATTTAACTTATTGACTATATATTTAGGTAATTTAAAAATTAATACATTATATTTTTTAATTTAATATTATCAATAACTTTGCCCTGGTTACTTTTGAATAATATGCTATTCATCAGATAATCGTAATCAAAACAAAGTTAATGTTATTGTTTAAGACTCTTCACATTATTATTATTTAATGTGATATTATTTGTGAGAATTTGATATTTATTTTATAGATTTAGTGAATTTTTAGGGCCTCTAAAGGGTTCTGTCTTATGTTTCTTGAGGTCAGAGTCGTCGTGGAAATCACTTTAAGACAAACAAATCAATTAACAGTTTTATGACAAATACAGTAAATTGTTAATTAGTATCGATTACTACTCACACGAAACACTCTTTGCAATAGAGATCACCGGAACAGTCGTGACATTTAATGACAGCGTCTTCGTTGCAGATTTGACACCACGGAAGACTATCACTACCAATATCGTCAATATTTTCTTCGTCGATATCCAGTATGTGTGGATCAAGTGGTAGTGTTGGAACTGTTGGAAGTCGACATTCAGCGAGTAGTCTATCAATGAGTCGTTTCTCGATCTCTGTGTCGTCCAAATCGACGTCTATTTCCATATTTGTTTGTTTCTGTGATTCATTATTTTCATCCTTAAGTTTAGCCAATCGTCTTTCAATATCTTCATCAGTGGACAGTCGTCTACTATTACCGAATGAGTCGCGCGATCTCTTGTTTAAAGCGAGTTCTTCGCAAAATTGAGTCATCAATTGATCAGCTTTTTCTGAGTCAGTCTTGTGTTTGTGATGGTGATAGACAGTGATCGGAGGCATTGTATAATGGTTTGGATCAATCCCTTTAAGTCGAGCCAATCGCTCTTCAATTGCCTTCTGGTCTGTGGTCTGAGTCGGCGGCGAAGTGTCCGACTTTAGGCGTCGCAGCCGTTCCTCAATTTCTTCGTCATTAAAACTCATAATGTCATCAATCAATTGACCACAAATTATACACAAAATCTAAGAGTAAATCAAATTGAAGACAATGTGATGGACAGCAATGACAGCAATGACAACAATAAGTGGACATTCAGTGGACATACCTATAGTTGTATTGATATTATGGTTATTATGAGTCACTCTTTTGACAATCAATTTACTTATTTGTTATGAAAAACATATACTTGTAATACATGTCTTCAAATAGTATGCATAACAAGCGTTTAATTCTATATTCATTTATTCCTTTTTTATATTATAAAAACTAAATAAAAATAAATTACGTAATTCTGTAGAATTTGTGAAGAAATTTAATTTAAATGAAAATTAATTGATTATATAATTCATATAATATGACCTAATTTAGCACACTTTACAACATATTATCATATATTATATTAATTATATTTAATAATCATTACAATTAATGTAAATGATTTAATTTTGTTTAAATTAAAAAAAAGTTTTATTAAAAAGTCAGATCAAAACAAGTGCAGTACTTATCAAATCTAATTAATATAACTTTTAAATTAATGTTTTTAAATAATTTATTTAAAAAACTATTGACAAAAATAAAATTATTGAAATGTTTTATATTAAATATTTTTAAAAAAAAATATTGATTTCAATCTATCTTTTATATTATTATAAAATATTCTTACATTTATCATATTTTTAATAATTAAGTTATATTTTTTATTATTTAATTTTATTATAATCTGATACTTACAGTATAATCAATCATTATTAATGATATTTTAAATTTTAAAATTATGACATGTCCTTTAGTCGATTTTAAAATATATATATAATTCTAAAAATTGCAATATTATTGTTTATACTTTTTAATAATTGTAATAAAAATTGTGTAAATTATTTTTTTAAATGTGATTAACTTAATATAAAACTAACTTTTATTCACATTTAGATAGCACTACAATTAAACTACAGTCAAACGCATACATATGCGCACAGTTATCACAACTTAAAAGTTATTGAATGTCAAACAAGTAGTGATATACAGTGTTATACATATTATACAGTATTTTTATCAAATAGTGTTCACAGATTTATATTATTGAATTTTCAAATACAACAAATACAACAAATTACTAATTAATTTATTTGTATAATTATTTTCCAAATATTTTTATAATTTTTACTGTCAAATTTTATTTGTTTAAATTTTAATTTGATAATTATTGAAATGATTATATATGATAATGTTTATTGTTTTTATAAAATAATTCACTGGCAACACTATAAATGATTGACAAGTGGGCGTGGTCAACTATATGTTTTACTAAAACAGTTTAACTATGGCTATGCGCTTAACCATACAATTTAACACTCAGTTTTATGTTAGCATTCAAACTGTATGACAGTATATCTATCATTCATACCATACAGTGATTTGATTACAAGTTTGTATTGTTTTTAAAAATGTATTTTTTAAATCTTTACATTTATTTTTTTTTTGTTGAAAAAAGTGTTAACAAGTTTATAGTGAGTTAAGTTGTCAATTATTTGTTGTAACAATTGTTTGACAAAATGCTTATTTTGATCAATAAAATACTTCAAATAATGAATTGCAGACAAAAATAGTAAAGAATTTTTGTAATAAAATAAAAACAATTGTAAGAAATGAAGAATTGAATTAATTTTGTTTATATTTTGTTATTTTTAGTCTATTGTTTTAGTGGAAAACTTTTGGCACAAAGTAAAGCGTTTGTTTAGTTTGTGAGTCCTATAAAACGCTAATTAATTTATTTATTATAAACTTTTATATTTGTTATAAAATCTTTTGTCATTAACTACAAAATAACAACTTTTTATTAGTACTTAAAAAAAAACTTTCAATTTGTGAATTTATGAGTTAAACTCGCATTTTTACATTTACTTATTCATTGGGTAACTGTAGTGTCAGTAATCCCAATGTAAAGCATTGGAGATATTTTCATCTCAACTAAAGAAGTATTGGTTTATTAGGTTTACTCGATTGATATTTCTATATAGAGCTCAAGCAATATATGGTAAGACCTGCTTTTGAGAGTAAATGCCAGTGTTTTGTTTAGTTGGTCTCTAATTTCATAATATTGAATTGCACGGGTATTATACAGAAAACACAATTTTCCAGCCAATTCTAATCCCGAGCAATCAATTAGAGCCCATATATCTAAAGTATTATTTAATATATCATTAAATATATACTGTATATTAATATTAAAGAAAGGAAAGTCAATACACAATTGGCTAATAAAGTAATGACAAACTTGTATAATAAATATATAAATAAATATATATATATATACTGTATATACAGTATACTTCATATCATACTTTTGCACACTATATTACAATAAGCTATTACTATAATATTTTGTTAGTATATTAGTGATGGAAACTATGGATCTTTTAAATATAACCACTGATATGACTACTCCTGATTATGACTACAAGATTGATGACTCGTTTTCAGCGTACAATCTCTGGGATTTAATACCCACTGCCATAGTATACGGTATGTATTATTTAATGGACAAATTAATTATTATTGAATACATCTATTTTAATGTATTTTTTAAATACTTATTTATAATATATTTATCTTTTCAATACAGGTCTAACACTAATAGCAGGTTTAATAGGTAGATATCTTTAGATATTTGAAAAGTATTAGTGAAAAGAAATGTTAGATTTTAATAAGTTATTCATATGAATCATATGATTTAAGGCAATGGGCTTATAGTGTATACTGTGGTACACTTCAGGCGCATGAGGACACTGTCCAACGTATTTCTGGCCAGTCTTGCATTTGCTGACCTTTTATTGATATGTGTTTGCGTTCCCGTAAAGGTATGTTTATATGAGATTACAAAATATTTAATGTCATAAATATCTATATATCCTATAAAAAGTATATATATATTGATATATACTGTATATACGATTATGTTTAATATACATTAGTGTCGGATAAATAGTTTTTTGAAATTTTCTAAGAACTTATAATTTTATATATATATATATATATATATATATATATATATATATATATTATTGAATTTTTAAATTGATAAAAATATCAAAGGCAGTTATAAAATCGTTGATAAGTAATTTTTATACAATTTCTGTATATTAAAAATGTAGAAAATAGATTTACATATAAATAATATAATTACATTATATCTAATATAATTTATTATTGGTTCTTTAAATATTCTTTAAATATACATTATATATATTATTAGTATAAATTATTTTAAAGAATAGACTAATTTGATTAAAAAATATAATAAATTGATTGAATCAAAAAACCATTTTTACATTTTAACTTATTCATGCTTAGATTCTACTAATACTTTATGCAAAATTTTATTATAGCGTATAGTTATTATAATACATGTGTAATATATGGAAATTTAAGTTTAATATCTGTCTTATAACAAATAAATGTATACATCATACATATAAAATAGTCAAACTTATTATTTTTATTATAATATACTACTCTATAATAATATTCAATTACTGTTGAGTTTGTTATACAAATGAGATATTGTTTTTTTTGTTAAAATACTGTATACCACTGGTTGCCGACTTTAGTAACAAACTAATGTAGTGTTAGGCGTGCTTAAGCTAACAGTGCTATCGAGACAATACATTATTTGATAGGAAATGAATTGACTTGAGATAACATGTTTGAAATACTATAAATTAATTTCAATGAATTTACTGTATCTCATAAAGTGATGCTTTAATTTAAATTAATTAATTGAATTTTCATACAAAATATCACAACTTAAACAAACATATGTTTTCGACAACACAGTTACCTAAAGTCAAAACTAACATTGTTTTAGTTTATTTATTTTGGTAATCAGTGAATATCAAAACAATGTTAAGCAATATTTTTGTATCGGCAAAACACATATAAATTTTATTTAAATTGTAATGATATGTAAAGTTATAAACTTAGCTTTATTATGATAATTGTAAGGCAAATAATATTTTGATTATAACTACACATTTTGATTTTACTGTATATAATATATATACTAAAAATTTTATTTTAATTAATGAATACAAAATAAACCAGTTGAGAATGCTAGAAAGCATTTCCAGGCGAACTCCTTATCCAAATTAAATATTAAATTAATAATTTACTTTTATAAATTGCAGTATCAAATCAATGTATGATAAAATAAAGTTAACTTTAGGTATGTAAGGTATCAAATGACTCGGTATAACTAAATAATTGAACCAAAAACATGTAAAATATTTTATTATTCATAAACAATATAAATAAATAGTTGTTTTGATTTTTAAACGTTTTCACTTATATTTTGACGACTAAAAATTTATGCCATTGTTTTTTTATATAGAAAAAAATCAAAACATTTTTAATTGCATTTTGATGTCTAAACATCAACTTAAAAAATTAAAAATTTTATTTATCTACTTTAACCGCCATTTTTCTATATTTTTAAAGATATTAAAATTTTAATACTGATCTTCTATACCTTATTTTGAATGCTCTTCACAATTCAGACCTTAAATATTAAAAATGGACGCCATTTCATCTATGTTTATGAATAGATATAATTTTTATACTGTTCCCTATAATTTATTATTGATACACTAAGCAATACTAAACTTAAAAATTTAAAAACAATTTTTTAAAATTCTTTTGATTTTTTTCTGAATAGATATGAAAAATTTGATACTCATTCCTTATACCCTCTTATTGATGTTTTATCCAAATCTGAAATCAAAATTTTGTGTAACAGACAGACCGACAGACATATAGAATTCAGATACATAATCCTTTCAGAAGTTTAAACTATAAATATATCTACCGATGTGTATAAAATTTACTATATATAAAAAATACTATAAATACTGTATTGAAAATATATCAAAGTTTGTTTTATAAAATCATTTATTTAAAATTTGCGAATAACACTCATTTATAATTAGTTATGCAATTAATTTAATTTTTATTTAATTGGTATAAATAGTTTAACAACATTATAATTTAAAAGATTTTTTTTAAAGTTAACACTTTGTTTAAAGTTTCCAATTTTGTTTAATTTAACCTTGTAAATTTAATATGGTATAGAAAAAATAAATTTTAAATAACTTTTTATTTGATTAATGAAACTCATAGGGTATAAAATATATCTAATTAAATTTATAATTTAAAAATTAATAATAAATTTAAATACATTATTTTTTATTAATTAAAAATTTAATTTCATTGATAAATAACCTACTAATGACTTATTTGAAGATGAAATTATCCTAAGAATACTTATATGCATATAATTATAATTTAAATGTATTTCATATATTAATTTATTTAAAAAAAACTATTTATCAGTTTCTAAACAAATTTAACAGTTTATATGTTGTAATATAAATTTTTTGATTAATTTATATTTGATTTTTTTAGACAATTACTTACAGTGAAATTTTTTTTAAAACTAAGAATCTTGATTTTATTAGTATAGATATATATAAATTCAATTTAATATTACTATTTTTGTTGATGTTTGATTTAGTATAATATTTTTTGTTTATATAGTATACTATATATCTTTTTATTATATATTAAATATATATTTCTATAAATTTCAATACAATACAATCTATTTCTAATGAAACCAACAAATTCAATAAAATGACAGTTTTAACAAAAATCCCATTTTTCACTAAATCTCTCAAAGCTGTTACAAATATATTTATAATAATTATAAAGTTATTAATAGTAGATTGTTAGACACAATCAAATTTACGGTAACATTTGGAAAAATAAAGTGAAAATATTATAGAAAATTATTTTGTATTATAACTATTGAAATATAGAAACAAATTTTAAAATGTAAACAATACTATACATTAAACATTTTTGAAATAAAATATAATAATTTAAACTTTTGTTCGTTTAAAATCAACAAATCCCAAAGTGTAAAAAGTGTAAAAAGTGTAAATTTTCTGTAAATGTTATCATTATTAAGTCTAAAAAACTTGCAATGAAATGTACTTAATTTAAAATATTGCAGGTTTATATTGTTTTACAATTGTAAATATTAAAATTTAGAAGTTTACTTAGATAAAAATTTATTAATAATTTTTAATAATTAATAATAGACAGTATAATCTTATTATAACATCAAAATTTAAATCAATTATATATTCATATTTGTAATATTTTGTATATAATTTTGAAGTATCATTTGTTTGTACAGTACTTAAAATATATTGTATAGAAAATTAATAAAAATATTAAGCAACATTATACTAAAATAACAACAATACTATAATAATTTGTCTACTAATTTTTTTTTAATTTAAAAACTTTTAGTATTTTTAATTTATCTAAATATATAATATTTAAATTGAAATTTAGTGATAAATATTTAATTTTTTTTATGGTTATTCGAAATTTTAGAATATTAAATTACAAAAACATTAAATCAATAATTTATTTGTGTTAGCTATTAATTAATTATTTTAATTAAAATGTATAAATTAGCATTTTTAATACTTTGTTATCATTAAACAGGGAATTAAAATATTATTTGTAATTTTATTTTATATTATCTGTATTACTTTTATGGCAAGTACTTTTAGTTTTAAAATTGTATTATTAATTTTTTTTAAAAATAAATATTTTTAAAAGGAAGTTCTACAATATTTAAATAAAATTTTTCATATACTGTATATTAATCACACTGTATTTTATTATTTTTAAAATGTATCATTTAATAATTTTTAAACTAGCTAATTATAAATCTAGATTATTATGAAATTATATATTTTAAAGAGTTTAGTATCATTAATTAAATCTTATGTCGAAAACATAATATTCATGAATTAATTAATGAGTAATTATAAAATGCATTTTTATATACTTATATATATATTTACCAATCCATGACATTTTTTTGTTAATTTACTGTATTTCACATAACATGTATTATGTAGAGTATAAATAAATAGCATAAGATGTTATTTGTGTATCTATTCATAGTATTTAATAAATAATATAACATAGAAATCCATAGAAATGAATGAAAGATTTAATTATTTGTTATTCAATTGTTGTATTTTAACTACAATGATATATCAAATTATATTAGTATTTCATTTGTTGTATACTTATAATATTATTACTTTACAATCAAACAAAAATAAATAAATTAAATTTTGTACATATTTAGCATTATTTTGTTTATATATTGTATAAATAATCACAATAATAACATGTTAAAATAATAACGCTAATATATTTATATAATATTTTGATTAAAAGCTATAGTAGTATATAAATATATATTTATATTCATTTTAACTATTGATTCATATACAGTAATGATGATATAATATCCATGAATTTCATTAAGTATTGTACATTTTATTAGATTAAATAAATACCAAATAAAAACGATTATATTATATTACACAAAAATTAAATAATATACATAAAAAAATGTTTTTCTTATTATATTTATATAAATTAAATACTGTACTGTTTCTCCATTTCTTTATTATACTGTATATATAATAGAGAGACTAATTACAGTCCCTTTTTCTCGCAGATTACTCGTTATTATTATTATTATTATTATTATTTTCAGTAGTAGTTATTATACTTAATATCATTGTATATTAAAATCTTTATCTATTAATATACTTTATAAATAGATTAATATTATAGCTTTTACAGTATTTGTACCGTATTTAGTGTATATAAAAAATACATTTATTATTAATTTCACTTAACTTTTGGTAAGCCTTAAGCTTTAATATTTCAATAAAACGTTTGATTCTTTTCTTAAGTAAGTCTTAAA